GTGAAATGATTCATAATGAAGGAAAATCAAGACTTTTTTTGTTATTATCTTTTAACCGGTGTACATCACAATGCCTGTGAGAATTGTATTACCGTGAGGACTGTATCTTCTCTAATATTTCATACATCAGTGTTCACCTTCCTGAAACCTTTCCTTTTTTTCATATTACTAATACTCGTCCATTTTTCAGACCAGATAGAAGTAACAAGAGTAGCCACAAGTACCAGATACATCTGTTTTGTTATAACCTCACCTCCTTTATATTTGTATTGTGTTTACTACTACAGGATCCTTCCAGGACATGCTGGTGCTTTATATAGTGAGTTACACCAGCACTTAATCACTTTTCTTATGTGATGTATAGAAATGGATGCTCTTGTCATACAAGATGTGAAGTAACAATTTCCTGATTTGTTTTCAGGGAGAAAAAAAATCCTATTTTATTTTTTGAAATTGTAAACCTCAGAGAACAAAAACAAAAAAAGCCAAATATATACATTTATGTAAATGACATATAAAATAAACTATTTAAAGCCATGTTCTGCTGTTTTGCGTTCTTCTTGGTTGTTAAATGGACAATGATGTTGTGTATTCCTTGATTTTGAGGATAAATATATACTTTAGAAAACCATGTTGTAGAATGTAGAAAGGCTCATACTCATTCATTCTGCCACTTATTCTATACTTGTCTTGTGGTTTCTGCTTGGCAAATGTGCATGCTAGTGTGTGGCCAGAGGAAAAAACATACTTCAAAGAAGCATCCCCCCTCTCGCATCATTTATATAATGGATGTATAGTCAGAATGACTTAAGTGGCAGAGTGGATTTTTTAAATTTTGAAATAAAGTCATAAACCAATTTAAAATAAAATGTAAAAGCCTTTTTAAAAAACACTTTGAAATACCAGATGATCAGTGGTTGAATTCTTGAATGCTGAATGCCCATTGTACCAAAGAACGATTTCTTCTTCCCTGTCTGGTGAATGCTGGAGGCTAATGCAAGTCACATATTATTATTATTATTATTATTATTATTGGTGGCACTGTCAAATGCGCTCTGTGGCCATTTTGTAAATCGATAAATGTAACAGACCTTAAAATTGTGGCGGAATTCCAAGATGGCCAACATCTTAATCAGAGATTCTAACTGTTATACCAGATAAATGTGCTAGTGCATGCTGAGATACATTTTTAAATCTATTTGGAATATTTTTGCACGATTGACTAAAATTATTTTTATTTTACAATTTTGCATTAAATTCAGAAAATATAATTAAAAGAGGATGCATTTGGCTATAATTTTTCACAAAGATGTGTCATTTTGACAACTGTCACCTCCTGGCTTAGCATACAGAACATGAACTGAACTGTCACCAGACATAGTCCATGCACCTTAATACTGTATACTAATGAAAGACTCCCTATACCTTGCAGTGTACATTTAAAATAAATAAATAATAAAGAGTGGATCTGTTTTTACATGGATTCACTTGTCAGGCTTCAAGAATTCTAAGAAACTTTCTAAGATACTGATTGGGTGTTGACATTATATGCCCTCTGCAGACTTTTTTTTTTTTTTTTTTAAACCAGTTTCATTTTATTTATTTTTTTACCCATAATGTTTGAAAACGGGATGTCATTACAAGAGGGCCACCTCCACAGTGGAAAAGTCCGCCATCCACCAATTGACAATTGCAACAAAATGTAATCTAGCCTGGTTATATTAGAAACCGATTTGTCAGGTTGTTTTGAACTAGTTTTAGAATCTCCTAACTTTATTTCTTTCATCATTCCTAGAGTGATGGATAGGATTAAAGAAACCAGTTTCATTTTATTTTTTTTATCATAGTTGTATTGCTACATAGGAACCAAGGTGGTTAAAAATGTTTTTTATCCACCCTGGTTCCTATTTAAAAAAGTAAAATGTTTAGAATAGGTTTAATCTTTAATTTATTTAATAAAATACTTTGAGAAAACAAAATTGATAGTTTTATATTTAAAATACATTATAGTTTAAAAGTTATGTATATTCATGCAATATTCACATTTTTGGTAAGTTCATTAATTCAAGTTAATTGAACTTGTGTCTGCAGAGATAACAAAATTATAACATATTAAGGGTGAAACACATCTCCATATAAGAAGATCAGGGTATCACATCTTAATGCATTAGTTGTATGTTCTTACAAGCAAAAAATGGAAAGAAACCCCTATTCTATCGATGTGATATTGATCCCTCCAAGTGAAGTGGGTTAAAACTAAATTGTCATACATGATGCTGTGGGAGATGGAACCCGGCACTGTCTACAACTTGCAAGAGTGGTGAAAGCACATGAACGGGTAAGGGAAACATCCCATTCCATACAAAACTGTGAATCTTATTAAAATTTACTCCTTGCAGATGTCTTCCTGGGTGCACCACCATTGTACTGGTGCGGTTACTTGTCTGCTGGCTCCATATATTTTGGACATGTTTAGTCTTGGAATGATCTGCTCCTCCATGAGATTAGATCTACCACTAGAGTCTCTCTAGGATATTATTTACCATTTTCCCAGACCAAGTGCCTAGCAACCTTATGTCCCTGAGAATACATATGGCTGCATAGATTGGAGTTGCAGGCCACTGAAAAAGAACAAACCTCTATCGCCGAAACTCATTCAGGACAAGCGTAGCACCACATATGAATACAAGATGTCCCACAAAATTAGGGAAAAAGGAGGATGCATTCCAGAAGATATGAGAGGGAGACTACCAGCTAACATGCATTGGCTACTAACTTTACTGCACAGGGGTCAAAGTGAGGTTTCAGGGGCCAAACCGACATATTATAGTACGATAAATTCCAAATACTGTTCATGACACAACTCAGACTTATGCCCAGTTTCAGGAACAGCAGGGGAACTAATCCGTGGCTCTAAATTGGAGTCCATAAAGTATAATCACACGGAATAACCTGGATTGTTGGTGATGTGGCCAGATCATGCTAAAAAGGGCAAACTCACACCTTATTGAATATATCCTATTGTTATACATACCCAATGTGAAATGGTACACTGGATGTTAACTTACTTCTCCCCAATTTCCTAATCTGTTATTTAATATTTGTAATGAGATGAAGATTTCATATTTAGAATAACCAGCAAGAATGAGACTGTTTGAAAACTTGATGTAAATGATTTTTAGACAAAGTGAAGTAACTAAACTAGATGTAAATTAAATCCACTCTGACAGGGACTATCTGTAACATCACTTTGTGTTTAAAATACCCCCCCCCCCCCATTAAAGGGACACTATGGTCACCCAGACCACTTCAGCTCAATGAAGTGGTCTGGGTGCCAGGTCCCTCAGGTTTTAACCCTTCAGATGCAAAAAAAATTTAATTTGGGGTTAATCCAGCCACTAGAGGTGCATCTGCGACGCAGAAGGCACATTTCTCCTCCATTGCGCAGAGCGTCCACAGGAAAACATTGAGAAAGGCTTTCCTATGGACACTTTGAATCTGCGTGCTTGCGGCTCCGCTCACGTCAGTGGGGGAGAAGAGGTCACCAGTGCCGAGGGAGCCCGGCGCTGGATTAAGGTAGGTTGATGAAGGGGTTTTAACTCCTTCAGCGCCACGGGAGGGGGACCCCGAGGGTGAGGGCACTATAGTGTCAGGAAATCCACTTTGTTTTCCTGACACTATTTTGATCATTTAAGAAGATAGAATTTTTCATTTTTTAACAGTCTGTTAAAAAGGGACTATAAAACTTATAGTATTTGCATCAAGCATTTTCTGGCAATCACAAATCAAAGCCTGTAGTTTGTCTGAAGAATTTCAAAAACTATGTATAGGGTGCCCTCTTGTGATTAGAAAAAATACAACTTTTCTTAGCTTCAGATCCTTCAAATGCAGAATTTTACACCAAAATAGTTGAATGGAAATGGAGATGATTTGGATATTTTTTCATTTATCTCACTGTTTAGTGCTTAAAATGCAAAACGTTAAATTCCCCAAAATACACACTCTAGTCGTATATAAGACCCATTTGTCTTTATATCAAGGGGTCCATCTTTGTTTTTTCGGTTTCTTGGTAATTTCCAAATATCTACATTTTTATTCTATATTTGCAGCCACCAATATCAGTCTTGATCAAGCGTGCGTGAGTGGACCCCTTGCTTGGACACTTCAGTAAACAAACTTTTTTTTTTTTTTTTTTTTAAACCAAGTGTTCCAGGATGGTAGAGCTTCCCTAGGGATCCACAGACTGCAGAAAGAGGTGTTTGTATTTCCAAAGGACTTACATCTCACTCTTACTGCTACTGTGCTGCCCAATGTACAGCAGAATAATGCAGAGCACAGCAGAGAAAGTATAGCAAACATACCTTCCCCATGATCAGTCAAAGACAAGGGTGCATTTACAGGCATATTGAGCATGACCACAACAGTCCCACTCGCTATGCTTCTCTTACTATACACCAGCCCACCCACTCCTGTTTAGACCTGCTTGAGAGTGCGGAACGTGGCTTTTCTGAAAGCTATTTTTGTTATTAGATGGTGATGGGACCTAAATGAACACTTGTACTTCTTAGCACTGCAAAGCATTTCAAACAAAATTAAATAAAACTACACAAGCAGAAAAAGACTGATTATTTAGCTACATTATGATGTATCCTAAAAATGCCATCAATTGGATATGATCACCTGCTGTGTGGGGAATAATGAACTGACACTTGCTGTTTGTCAACAGGTTAATGAGTGTTTTCATCATGTCCTGTAAATGTAATCTATAGATGTGAAATGGGCCAGCAGCATTCTGGTGATAGAGTGCTTCTAGCCATTTCCTTCCTTCTCGGAGCCCTGGAAATTACAGAGGGACCTCCATCACTTGTCTGGAAATCACACCATTTAATAATACATTGATAGCCACCTATAACCATGTGATGCTAAGTTTTCTTAAAGTTACATTAAAGATTTAACAACACACAGTCAGGGCACACAATGCAAATGAACACAATCATTGCTTCAGTTTCTCTTCCTTCATTGTGTTTAATGACAGCAAAAGGGAACATTTACAATAATTGAGACAAAGAGGCAAGATGAAGATTCTCAGTTCCAGAATAGAGATTAAGACAACAGTGTCAATTTGTACATTTAATTTTTTTGACTAAAGGTTAACGGGAAACAGAACATTAAAAATTCGGGAAAGTTACAGTTTCCCTTTAATTCGTCCCCCAAAATATATTTGATGGTGAGCACAGATGTACACTTTGCAAATAGAACAAATCGAAGGACTCATTCAGACATACACTGTACACGTGAATAGCACTACTTTAAGGTCAGGGAAGTCAAATATTTCAGCTTAAAGCCTTTTTGTAATGGCTACGAAATACCGATTTTATGCTTTCCTTTTTTACAATGTTCTCGATGACAGATTGAAGAAACATTAAACAGTTTATTCATGCTCAAACACTTTCTTTGGATGCCATCAAAACCAGTGTTTCCAGAGTCAAAAGCTGCAACTCTTTACTGAAAGAAGAAAAAAAAAAACAATAAAAGTTGGAAATAGAACCTATACAGTGTCTTACATTCCACGCTTTCCTGTTTTCAGTTACCATCCCTGTGATAGGTCTACAGTATATTTCCATCTGTAAGCTTTGTGGATGTATTTCAGAGTCTGTATTGACAAGTAAAAGAATTCCGTGTTTTCAAGGCAGTTGAGCCTCAGACATTTTCCATGGTGGATATTGAACACATAGGAACGGTCTATATAATAAAAGCACACGAAACACTGTACAAGGTCTGAATAAAATATGCTTATTAAATACAAACAATAATGCAGTGATTAGTTAGCGTTCTTGTTCTTTGCCTTTTTTTTCTTTGTCTTGTCTGCCTTGGGGGCAACTGCCTCCCCATTTGGTTTGGCCTTCTTGATTGGGGGAAGCACAGCAGAGTTCTCCAGCGTTGCTCCACTTTGCAAGATCTTTTTTTTGTTTCTCCTCTTCTTCCTTTTCTTCGAACTGGAGACTTTGCTTTGATCTTCTGAAATCTCGATCTTGGTTTCGGCAGCACTTGGCATGGGTTCTCCTGTGGTGGCCTTCTTACGAGCGTTGCGTTTTTTGGTCTCTGGTAAAAACCCTTTCTTTTTCTTTGGTGGATTATTACTTTCAACAACCTCTTCCACAGCTTTTCGCTTTGTTTCCTTGGGACGCCTTGAATTAAACAAACAAAAATTACAAATTGTAAGGGTCAGAAAAGGTCAGGTTTGTGCAAATATGCCCACTAGATCGACAACAGACAAACTTTAAAAACATTAACATAGAGCTCAACATCTTCACTCATCCAGTCTTTTTACCCAATTTGTATTACTCCGTACCCGGCAGCACACATGACTCCCTTACTCTTCAGTGGCATAATGTAGGACACAAAGTTTATCACACTCTGTGCCATGTATAATGCCATGCGCCACAGAGGAGTAAGGAGACTGGAGTTTACTCATCCGGCTACATGTATCACTCTTTAAGTAAACATACCCCATCATTTCCATTGGAATACATTCGTTTCTGGTAGTACTTAATAGTGACTGTACATGGTACGCAGTAAGGAAATGTTTTTCACCATTGTTCATATACTATATTTCCATATTGTATAACCAGCAATAGACAAAAATAATTTTATAGTGATTAGAAAAGCAAACCTTTATTTCAGAGAGGAAAGCAATGGATTGACTAAAAATCCACAATTCTGGTAATGTCACCAAGAAGGTGGATCTGGGGTGGGGCCAGCATTGGCAGATCTGCGCGGCACTGAAAATAAGGTGAGTTTCCACCTTTTCTAAGGGAGCTAATTGGGGGGGGGGGGAGGAACAAGCCACCTAAATGGTGGAATAAACACTATAGGGTCAGGAATACATGTTTGTGTTCCTGGTACTATAGTGTTCCTTTAACCTCCAGGTAGCCGTATAACAGGCCTGTAACAAGCCGCAATATACTATATTGTTCTAAATCGAGAGGGTGTCTAGGACTTTCGCACCTATACACATACATAGTTACATAGCTGAAAAGAAACTTGCGTCCATTAAGTTCAGCCTTCCTCACATAGGTTTTTGTTGTTGATCCAAAAGAACGTTAAAAAAACCCAGTCTGAAGCGTTTCCAATTTTGCAACAAACTAGGAAAAAATTCCTTCTTGACCCCAAAATAGCAGTCAGATGTCTCCTTGGATCAAGCAGCTATCACCCCACTTATTAGAAATGATATCCGTTCTACAGATAGTTTATGTTGCATTGGTGTCCCTTTCCTGTTTGGACTGTTAGTGTAAGATAAATTAATTATATTTCTTGTACACTTATATTTTGTATGTCCTGCCTGGTGTTTCATTGTTCCGGATAATAGTATTTGCAGACAAGTGCCATCCAGTGTATTGGAAGTCTCCAGAAGTGCAGAAAATTTTCTTTTTATCATGTGAATTGCATGAAACTCTGGAGAAGACCACCACTGACCTATGCTGGAGACAATGTGAAGATAGAGGCACATGTATTCAAGCGTGGTGATCATGCCCCAGAGCGGTCTAGTTGTAGAAGCAGACTAGCGATCTTTTACATTAGACCTTTCACAGACTTATGATGTAACCCTGGTCATATCTGCTCTGCAAGCCAGTGGATGCCGTTTATTCTCCAAACAAATATTTTTTATTTTATTTTTTTTAAAGTCACTCTTGCAGCTAGATGGATACTGCTTTGGATTCTGTTTTACTCAAACTCACAGAAAACTGTCTTGTGGTTAGCTGCCAAAGTCAGAAACTCTATGTCTAATTTGGAGGAATATTCAATGGTTGACTTGTGTGATTTAAATCCTGTACGTAACGCCCTCCCTACCCTGCAGAGTAATATCCCCCCATCTACTTCCACTCCAATTCCTCTTCTATCTTTCAAGCACTTTGCCCGGTGGATTTTTTTATACTTTGAGCTTGCCTCAAGAATTATAATACCGTTATGATATCCTTTGCCATAAGTATGACAATGTGCCTCTCTGTTTGATATTAGCTGCGTTTATATATATATATATATATAATTGAGCAAATATTTACTATTTCATGTACATACACAACTCCGATAAGTTTCATGACATTCCAGTACATGTCTCTCTCCCGGATTGACGTTCCAAAGCCTTTGTTCTGACTCACAGATTGGAGCACCGGATGCAGCTCAGTGAGATTGACCTCCAGTTTCTGGACAAAATAAATATATAAAGTTATATCAAGTGTGCTGCAGCCTAAATATTTCATGTTATTACTATATTTGTCAATTCAAGAAAATGTGCAAGTATAAACTATGAAAAGTAAAAAGTGGAGTTGTCCCCAATCAAATATACCTACTGCTTCCATTGGTTTCCATGGGGATAATACCATTATTCTGATCACATGGCTGATGATTTAGGTTATTCACTAAAGTGTGAATAGTCAATGTAAAAGGAATTTCAAATTCTAGGCCACAACAGACAAAATAGAGAAACTCTCCAAGTCAAACATGTTTAACCTTGGCTTGTGTTGACCTATTCACCCAAAGTTAATTTTGAATAACCCATTTAATTACTCGCTGCCATACAGGGAGGTTCTCTTGCTTGTAAAAACACCATGGAAAACAACTAACAATATGAATGTAAGTGTAAACTAAGTGTTTAATATACCATACCTATATCGTGCCAGTATACTGATAATATCTTCTGTACTATCCCAAAACGCTTTTTAAGAAACGTAATGGAAGCTTTAGTGCTAGAAAAGCCACTGAACTTCTTTCCACAAGTCTCCAAAACCAGCACGGGTTGCAGCCAATTCAGACTACAGTCACTTACATCACCTCTAACCCAATGTAAAATTTGGTTGGTTAACACCGGTTCTTGATCAGGTCGGTTAGGCTTTACATACTGTGTGTTACAACCACATGATTTGTAGTTCGGCTGTGCTCTATAAGTAACTATTAGGTCAATGGTATTCTAGGATTTTTAGTATGCCTCTTTAAAATAAACAAAGTGCATAAACTTTATCTACAGGCACACATGTATTCTGGTAGAATATACCTTGAAGGTGAGAAGTAGTAAAACCTTTGTGTCATAAGTTGTGTGATAGGAAAGGTTAGAATTATAAAATCACAAAGATGAACAAATATTTCACTGTATGGCTCTCCAGGGTATTTTAAAACAAAGAGATCATTAAATAGCAATTAAATACCATCACCAGAATCGCAGCTTTTGTTACGACAAAATACTTCTAGTGATGAAACTTTGAAAGCATATGCCAATATATCTAGAGCAGACCAACAATTTAAATACTCTGATGTGGAATATAGATGCCTTTTCTGTGGCTACTTAGGCCCACTCTGCATATAAAGCTATAACAAAGTTCCCCTTTAAGGTTTTCATCATCCAGGTACTCTCAATGCATAGAGTATATTTTAAATTAGGAGAATACAACATGCTCTCTAAAATGACAGATTAAAGTACCCCATATTTACACATATTTTAATAAGGGACAGCAAAATAATGTAGAAAGGGAGGAAATGCAGTGACATTTATATAAAACCAATGCTCACACAAACAACCCTACATTTACTAAACAGACTTGAAATTTTGAGCCATGCCACCAACCCAACTCAAGATTCCAGGCTGCGCTTAAAGGTACACTCCAGTGCCAGGAAAACTATCAGTTTTCCTGGCACTGCAGGTCCCCTCTCCCCTCCCATCCCCCACCCCATGTTGCTGAAAGGGTGAAAACCCCTTCAGTGACTTACCTCAGACCACCGCCAATGTCCCTCGGCGGTGGTTTAGGGTCCGCCCACGGGGGAGAGCGACTGCGCATGTGCGGCCGCCGGCAGGGGAGACCTAATGCGCATGCGCATTAGAACTCCCCATAGGAAAGCATTGAAAATGCTTTCAATGCTTTCCTATGGGGATTTTAGCGACGCTAGAAGTCCTCACATAGCGTGAGGACGTCCCAGACGCTATAGCACAGAAAACCTGTGCTATGAACCAGGAAGTGCCCTCTAGTGGCTGTTTTTTAGAGGAGGAGTTAACCCTGCAAGGTAATTATTGCAGTTTATAAAAACTGCAATAATTACACTTGCAGAGTTAAGGGTAGTGGGAGTTGGCACCCAGACCACTCCAATGGGCAGAAGTGGTCTTGGTGCCTGGAGTATCCCTTTAACTATGTAATACTTTTATACAGAGATTGGAAATGTGAAAACACAGCAACAGCAGACAATCACTGACAGAGTTCTGATACACTGTGCACTGCTTCAAACCAGGCAGAACATTCAGAGGGTTTTAAATAGCCAGACCATTTGGAGGACCACCTCTATGAGTTTACATTACCTGCTGTGTCACAGTTTTGATCAGGAAGTTCAGCAACTCAAAGCATTTAATGAGTTTCTCCTGGTCAACTTTAACTTTAATTTCAGTCATAGCTTCCAGTGTCTGCAAAACAAAGTAAAATCACAGTGGAGAAGTGGGCACACAGGAAAAAAAACAAAAAACAAAAACATGGAAAGCACATATTAAAAACATTCTCACCATATCCCACCTATCAAAATATACTTACTAGCTCAACTCCACCATTCCTTCAGGTCTACCTACATACTGAAATCTTATTTTCCGAGCAAAGGTTTTTCAAACACTTAAAACTCAGACTCAGCCTGGGCAGAGCAGCAACAGGCAAATTCAATGCAAATCTCCAAGCTTCCTAGGCTGAATCTGTACTGTCTACAAAGTGCATTCCTGATTAGGGCAATTTGTAGTGGTTTTCGATACATTTAGCCCTAATCTAGTCTGGGACCCACAAATATAAATTTACTTGGTAAACTTTCTATCTTCGTTGCGTCATGGTTGTACTTTTCTATTTGTAACACTAGAATTAAAACCCGATAGTAAATCTCCCTATACGGCATTTCAGATTTCTTCTTCTTTCTTTTTTAAACATACTATTATGTTATATAAAGCCTTAAAGGGATTACAAAGTTGTAGTCCTTACAAAATAGTACCCTCTGGCCCCACCTCCTACCTTGCTGCTTTTCTAAAAGTGCAATGATTTACATTGCAGGACAATGTGGGGCAGCACTGCACCCAGACCACTTCAATGAGCTGAAATGGTCTGGGTGCCTACAGTTTCCCTTTAAGAGTTGAGAAAATGTACTGAGATAGATACAGGATGACACTGCACGGTATGTAGACTTCAAACAAACAACTACAATGCTAAAAGAAAGAAAAAAAGTTGCTGACTTCAACTGGCTACAAACACAGAAATACCTTTATTTCTTGATGATTAAATGGCTGTATTAGGCTGGGACACAGTAGGCAGAACACGTATAAGTTTCTGATAACTTTCAGCTAAGGCACAAAACGTGTTGGCGTTTTCAGTCTAAGCTGTGTGTTTATATCTAGTTCAAGTCCACTTTTTTTTTCTTTTGGCACGCTGGTTATATGGATCATGGAAAGAGCAGAACCCGTAGCTGACTCTTGGTGATTATATTGTGCTCCAATTTTGCATTTATTCTAGTCTTCAATCTCTAGCTGATGTATGTTGTTTTTTTTTTTCCAGCTCTGATATGAAGCCTTCAAATAAATAGTGTTTATGGTATATAAAGCAGAACCCCTGATAAGAAACTGTGTATAACTATATACAGCTATAGCTTGGGTTTAAATAGTAGTCCTAATACAGTCTTCAAGAACAGTCTCCATCTCAATAGCTTTTCGAAGATGTTCTAAGATTCAGGCCACCATACTCCAACAGGTACCCCACCTCTGTGCCTTTATACAGTTTAATTGTGCATCTGTTAGGGTTTTCTTAGGCAATCAAGCATACATCCCCCCACCACAGTTGCATGAATCTACACATAACTTGACAAAGCATTGTTATAAAAGAAGAAATGTTAAAATGTGCTGGTTCTATACCTGAATAACCTGGTTGATAGCTTCTTTAAGGAGATCTTGCCACTCAGAAGGTGACATGTTCTTCTTCAGGTCCGCGGTCTGCAGGGCTTTCAGAAGAAGAGCACATGCCTGGGACTGGGGTAAATAAAACAGTACACTTTGTTACAGCCAGCTTACTTTAGAATCTCAGTTTTATATATGCAAAGGCACTATAATCCATGGATAAATTCTGGAAATATCCCAACAATCACTTTTCAATTAATAAGCCATAGCAATTGCACATTAATTACTGTAATAGAAAGCAATAGTAATTGTCAGATATCATTTAAATTTTAATAATGTATTTAAAATTCCCTCTATTCTATTCTTCATTAACAGGTCCTGTACATGACCTTTGTACACGACAGGAAAACTGAATTGAAAGTAGGCATGGTGCCACTGCGGTGAACTTTAGGTCCACAGTTAGAAAAGTGAAAGCCATCAGCAGCACGGTTTCACGTGTTTCGATGGCAATTTCTCCTTGTTTAGAAATGTTCTTCAGATTTGCATTTCCCTAACCTATTCAGTCTACCAATGGGAGTCTGTAGACTGGACAGTGATGGAAAAGTAGAATTTGGGGAGAGAAATTGCTGCCATTTGAACAAACTCAGCTTTCGTGTTCGGTTTTGTTTTTATCTTAAAATTTGTAGTAGTAGTCTGTCTCACAAGATAATTGTGAGACCCCCTTTTTTTCTCAATGCAACCAGCATGGCTGATAATGTGATTGCCCCAAGTCAAAGTTGGATAGCTTGGAAATTCTCATGAAGGTATATAACGTTTAGCTTGTTGTACTTGGTAATACTAGGACCTTTCAAATAACATTTGATGCTTTGCATATTGATATGGATCTCAATCTCTCTCTGATATGTTACATTTTCTCTTTTGTACATTTTGTGAAATGAAAGCTAAGTGTTTTCAGCTTGGCTAGTTTGGCATATATGTCGCAATGAAATTAAATTCAGACAAGCGATAGCTGTCTGGGTCTAGAATGTGTGCAGAGTGCTATGCCTGGGGAAAGAAAGGAATTCTGCTTCAGCTAGACAATCTAACCAATCAAACAAAGCATTGCTAGTTCAACCTAATATAACATAATGATAGTTTAATGTTCTTAATAATATAATGTGTAACAGGAGAATGATACTGCCTAATGTGTTTAATTATACAGCGGTTCATGTGATACCACAAGGTTCTAGAATAGAACAAAATTATTACGCTTTGTCTGTCATAAATGAAACATACTCAGCACCTCTAATGTCTACATTTACATATTTCAGTGAGACCAGATAAACCAGCACGCTTAGTGTATGTTTACAAATTTCAACAGTTTGTGCATGCCCTAAATAAAAAAATAAATAAAATAAAAAAGGAATGTGTGTGGCATAAATATTGCATCAGATATAATATAAAAGGCATGCTTTGACTTAGCAGTATTTTTGGGTGGAACAAAACTAACAATTTCAAAGACCTTTCCTGATCTTTCGATTAAATTGATAAAGTATGAAAAAATAAAAATTGGATCTTTTTCCATTGTTCTGTTGGGGGTATGTGGGAGTGTTGTGGGCATATGCAAGTATAACATGTTTTAGAATGAAAAGTTGTATATCTTAAACTGTGTACTTTGTCTTTAGGAGATTTTGCTTTAATAAATAACCTCTTACCCATATAGAGTGAATACGGTGTTCAGACTTTAGGACACCATTTTGCCCTAGGTTAGTGTAATTCCCCAAGTCAGGGAATTTCCCACGTCCTGTGCACCCTTAAGTATTAGCCTAAACATAGATGAGATGTTCCTATGTGAACTGACCAGGTTATGACCTTGTATCTTTGCCAAGTTAAGGGAGGTCCTAAAATTACCTAATTGAACATCTGACATATAAATATATGTACACCACTTATTAATATTAGAACATAGAGGAGAGATTTTGGAATGTTATTCTATTTTACTGATATTGCAAGCATATACTTTAATCTTATAAACTCTGCTATAGATTATTGTAATGGATTAAGTTTGTATATGTGTATATTTATATTTAATAAAATATTTAAAAAGACAAACACTTTATTGCTTCCAAGACAATCCCTATTTATATTGTATTCTCAATTATTTATATATTTTAAATAGAGGAACTCTTACTAACCATATAATATTATGGCTAAGATATCTGTACGGTTAACCCTGCAAAATTCTATGTTTTAAAACGTTATAGTGGTAAACAGGGGAACCGGCTGCGGTTACAAATGAATGGAGTATAAACAAAATCTAAAATAAAGTGTATAGGTAAGATTTGTTGCATCACATGGTAGATCGTATTACCTTTAAATTATGTGAAGGATAATTACCAAAGAAACATAGATGAAGGAGGAACTGCCAAACCAGTCCTGTTTCACAAGCACATATACACAGTACCTGTCAATGAATTGAGTACATCGGAATAGGAACCATGATAACAATGTGTTTGGCTATATAAACCGGTAAAAGAAATGGTAAAACATTTTTTTTAAAACATCGGTCTCTCACCTGTTGATGTTGTCTAGCGCCATCTTTAATAGAGGTTAATATAATAGTCAGCATTGGCTTGCACATAAACTGTAACAAAAACATAATATGAATTAGTAAAAAACGTGCATTCTCTATGCTACAGAGGTTCACAGATCTCAGTGATGTGGATGCTTCCACTCACTTTGTCTGGCTTAAGAGACTGTTAAACTTTGTGTGTCTCGTATCTGGTACAGATATAACTCAGACTGGGCTAGACTGCATAGACAGAATGCTATTTCATCCATATTTCTGACACATTATTGAAAATCAATCCTCAAGTTCTAACAAAGTCTTATCTTGTCAGAACACTGAACATGTACTCACTGGGTACCGGTGAAAGAGATCCATGAACATGGCGGCAGTGAGGGAGGTCTTTCGCTTGGACATGAAGCTCTTCAATGATTCTTGATAGAGTTCTGTCACCCGTGGGAGATCCAGGCACCCAAAGTATTCACCCTAGATTTAAAAAAAAAAAAAATTTAATAATGCATATCTAAGATACATATGCTTGCAAAATATGTATGATCACCAGTAGTATGAAGCTATAGTGCAATAGAGCTCTGATCTGAATTAGATTATTTTAAATTACCTAATGAGTGTACAATATTCTGTAGTTGCACAACAAATGTTGGAAAAAGACCATATCTTGCTCAGTTTCTTGATGAGAACAAATATTGTGCAGAGAGAGCGAGAAAGCTTTTCTATAACAACTTCAGCTTATTGAAGTGGTTTTGGTGCCAGGGTATCCTAGTACTATTTTGTTTAATTTGTCAAGCTTGCAAAATATGTTTAACCTGGATTTGAAGGTGGCAGCGAGCTCCACATTTAAATTAAAGAGGGAGAAATTGAAGTTCCTAGCTCTCAGCAGGCACAGGGGACTTAAAAGGGTGGCTCCACAGAACAGTACGTGTAAGCCCAAAGAATGTCACTGTCCAGGACACTTTGTAGACTTGCAAGACGTTACTTCCAAGGAGCAATAACTTATAGTCCCTCTCAAGTTTCTGCTGCCTTACCTACTCACGGGTATGAGTTGTGTTCACCAGGAAGTGTAATTCCTAGCTCTCTGAGTGAAATAGTTTGAAGGTGGAGCTTCAAATTTGCTTTCAAGCTTTATTGCCAGTGTGACCAATGGTACCTTGGAACCATAACCATTTCAATAAGCTGAAGTCATTACAATCATTTTCTCTTATAAAAATAAAATTTTTATCCCCGTGGTTTTATTTATAGCTTCACATGATCACAACCAAATAAGACATTATAGTTCTATAGACAGCATTTCTCCAACAGCTGATACTTCCTGTGATCCTGGTGTGTTTTTAAAACATCTTGCTTCTCAACCACAAATGAATATTAGGCACATTTGCTCTGTTGCTAATGCGCTTTAAACGGTGCTGATCAGAAAATGACATGGTCTCTAAAAATATTGTTAAGCTTTTAAAAATGGTCTATTACTGACATACCTGAGACAATGTCTTTGTGTCGTCTGACTCTGGTTGACCCTTTGTACTATTTTTCAGTACTTTGAAAAGATAAAGGGAGGCGCTGAATGGAAAAAGCAATACATTAAAAATTAGACATGTAGAGCCATTGATTATAAAATTATTTTGATCATAGTTGTGACGATCAGGTCAAAAAAAGTATGTTTACCCACAAATGACCTAAGTTATCAATGTAACAGTTAACATTTTGATAAAACACAACAATTCAAATGCATTTTTTTTACGTTTGTCACAATTTGCAACTGCCTCAGTTGATGCTGTAAAGAATAACTTTTCTTATTGGGGTTTATGTCATGTCTTGCCCTATAGTCCCACTATCAACAGGCCGCACACAAATCAGGAAACCATAAGAGGAAAAGGCACAAGATTGTGGGGGGTAAAGTCCCTATTAATAAAAACCACCAATAAAAATGCTGCAGTGTAATATTTTTTTTCTCCTACGCTAATGCTGTTAGACCATACATAAAAAAAAAAAATTATTTTTTTTTTAAATCACAAAGCAAAAATAAACAAAACCAACACTGACAAAGTATCATACCATAATCATTGTAACTGTCATTAAATGTCATATGGTGAAACTTGGACTATATAAAATGTATAATATATATAAACAATTAAAGCATGATTCCCAAGCTTAGTTTTAGGTAAAACCACCATGATGGAGGCCCACTTTCCTTCTAATTCACTAAGAGCAAAAACTGCACTCTTGGTATTGTAGCATGCTGCACTGCGCACATTGTAAACACACACATAGCGGTATACATTTTGGAACTATACATTTATTGGTAATGCAGTAGAATGTATAGACTCAACGGTTCCTGAATCAGATGTTCTAGGTCATGAAATTGACTGTGATAGACAAATTCCAAGTGTACTGCTTTACAGGATATATTTTAGTTTTGCAAATGAGAACATTATTAACTTAGGACAACACTCCTGCCAGTGCATTTTTAGACTAAAACTGTTCAACACATTGATGATCAACTTTAATACGGATAAATGGAATGATTACGTCTGCCTTATCTATGCAGCAAAGGATGGGGTGGTGTCCAGGTGCCTGGAAGTGCCCCGATTCACCATTCATAAACAGTTTGACATTAAACTGAAGGACAGTGCTAGAACGTTCTGTGTAACACAACCTTGACGTCACATAATAGTTTATTCATGTAGAAATATCTGTGTTGCTAAACTCTTCTGCATTACCTTTCTTGTATAATGCACAATTACCACAACATACCCTTAGGACAAGGAATAAATAGTAACATAGAATGTGACGGCAGATAAGAACCATTCGGCCCATCTAGTCTGCCCAATTTTCTAAATACTTTCATTATTTAAAGTAGCTCAATATATTCTCAATTACATTGTTTTTTGTTTGTTTTTTTAAATCGCAGCTGGACAACATAAAGAAGTAGAAGCTCACCTGAAGTAGTACAAACCCACCGAGGAGTCATTTTGTTTACAAGCACCGTTCAATAGCCGCTCCATCATAGCATGCAGCTCTTCTTTTAACTCTGACACATCCCTACAATACTTTTTGGATTTGCAGAGGTCATTCCTGTGATGAAAAGTGAAATGGACAACAAATAAAGGTCTTTACTGCACAAAAAGGATGATGTGATACACTCACTTGTTAAGACAATAGACATGTTGATACACTCACTTTATAAGACAGTCTGATGACATTTTAACAGAATTATAATGCAACAACTGCATTATAAAGTAACAAAAAGAAGGAAACAGAACACTAAAGCCCTGCATAGATAAGGAATTAAACAGCATGAAACCAAGTTCTGGATTAGGTGAATTAAAAAAAAAAAAAAAAAATGTATTTTGTTTGTATGTATCATTTTAAAAACACCATTCACATGGAGCGGAAGTGTAAATTCTCTTCTGATTTATCAGAAAGATATCTTGTGTGGCAGAAATAGTTTGATGTCCTTTATTCATAGTTTAATGCTCATTTAATAAAACCTGACTTGTGGCCCTATCAGTTTAATCAGTATAGTGCAGTAATATTAAGCACTCTCTGTTTATTTCCAGCCAGTCTAGGAGGAAAAGCAAGAAAAGAAAAAACCACAAACAGATCAATATTATTCACAAAGTAATTGGCACTTATATAAATATCTATGCAGGATGTAAAGTACAAGGATCTAGTAACGTGCATTATTAATATAGCCCTATCGTGCCTGGGTACTCCAGTTTTGGCAAGTCCAGAGCTAGTTTTATACATTGAATCCATTTTGCTCACACTTGGACATAGCCTGTCTTGTTGAACAATACGGACTCTATTCCCTTTGGACACTATTAACAGGGCGTCTGTGTGAAAGGGTGCGTGTGTGACTAGGAAGTCTAGTGAAAACTCTAAATATGCATTGGAACACATTTTTTTTAAAAAAAGATTTACAGCTCCAAGAACGAGGCCGTCCACAAATTCCTTTGTGCGTGGCTTTTGATCATTTCATCAGCACCGCAATTAAAATCTGCATGTCCAGGGTGGCGTTTCCTTTTCCCTGTGTCTGAACCAACAAGTTAAACAGGAAAAAGGATTTATTGGTCTGGGGTTCAATGCTTTCTATATCAGTGCTGAACTGGAGGGTGTTGATGTCTAAAACTGTATTTAGAAGAAGCAATAATGTTAATTTTTTGCAATGTCAGCTGTCACATTGCTGCATAAGCAAAGAATGTGTGGCTGCACGCGGCTTAAAAGGCAGTTTCTTGGACACATGGAGGATGGAAAAAATGAACAGGAACCTAAAAGATATCTCTCTGCACATTATGTCCCTAATAATACAATAGAAGCAGACATAGTAAAGAAATGTTGTACAGGCTACCAGTGTGATTAACTAAAGTGAGAATTAAACGTGTTTAACCCCTTAAGGACCAAACTTATGGAATAAAAGGGAATCCATGTCACACGTCTGCAAGCTGATTGGTTTAGAGGTGAGAATGGTGTGCCAGAGGTTAGTTTACAAGAATAAAAGAAAGATGGAGCTATTCTAATTTTAGGCGTGAACCACTCAAATGGTCACCCACTATTTCTGAGCTGAAACAGAATCCGCTTGAAGGCAGTGTCTCTAGGATGGTGAGAATTATTTTGAGAAGTTTGACAAATCTCATATCACATAATTAGCCGTTCGAGATCTAGATTACATATTATTACAGAAGTGTCACAATGTCCACAAACAGAGTGATTTTTCTACAACCGCTCTGTACATAAAGATAGGAGCAACGTGATTGCCATTTGGGTGAATTCACAAAAGACTAACTGAAAAGTAACTACAACAGGGTGACGAAAGATGTAAAGGCGCCCTCTATGGTAAAACATTATGTTCCTGATCTGGCAATATACGGACATCTTTATTTTGTACCAGTAAAAAACAAAAAGAGAAGATGAACATGAATGATTTTAACTATTACAATAAATGATTTTTTATTGACATTGTAACAAAAAAGCAAATTAGTAAAGTGTACAAAATACTAAATACTGAGCTCTATCTGGTGTCTTGCTTCCAGTAGCAAAGCCAAAGTTAACACAGACTGCAGTCTCATTAGACAAAATGGCAGCATGACAGGGCAAAGAGACCAGACAAGAGGAGATCTTATTTACCAACCGGCTGCCTTTCCACCATAGATGACAGGTCAAAGTCCATGTAACAGATCAAATAGACAAGATGAGATTCAGTCAATTTTCCAGGGATTAAAGGGGACACCAAGAACCATAACCACTACAGCTCAATTTAGTAGTTGTGGTGCTATATTTCTATGGGAACAGACTCGCATTATTTTTTGTCAAACAGTTTCACCAAAACCATGGCTCTACATGGCAACTATAGCTCGCTCACTCTTTAGCTTAACTGATAAAACTCACACGACACTTTGGTATTATCAGTACTAATCCATCCAACTTGGTTGTAGATGCTAGGCTGACAGTAGTGGGGGAAGGTTAGCCCTTCACTCCCAGGCCATCATTGCTGTTCAGGTTTGATAAAAAATTACACTTGATTATATGGCGGTGTAATTTCTGCATTATAGATGGAGCTGGGAAAAGGGTTATGCTATGGGTACAGTGGAGAGTCCCTGCGATAAGAGCACTGTTCTAAAACCATTTGTTAATAAAACAATTGGATGGTGCCAATAACAGGGTTATTCACAAGTGAGAATTCAAAGTAAATTTCATATTTTAGCATAATTGACTTCGAGACGTTTTTCAATTCAGCTATTTTGATCTTAAAAAATGAAATTCACTTTGAATTCTAACTTTTGTGAATAACCCTGTCAAACGTGGAGCACTCATACCCCTGTAATATGCTCCAGTGATTATGAGGTTTAGAGTGCCCTTTCAGGTATACAATTACTCAAAGTCAACTATACATAGTGTTACACTGGATCCAACCTGTATTTGTATATTTGAAGAAAATCCACAAACGCTAGTAATAATTTCAATGATGTTAAGTGAAAGTGTCAGACATTAGCCTGCAATTCATTGTAATGTTGGAATGTCACAGTCTCTAAACATACAAACACTGAAGCATTTCTTTGCTGCAAATAACTGAGCACAGTACATAGTTCTCTCTACCAAGCATTTCCTGTTGTTCAAACAAGCAATGCAGTCTTTGTACTCATATTTGTTGTGCTTACAACATAATGTTTCTCAGGACGCACCTGAATTCTTTCTAATGTATTGTAACTTGTGAACAGAAAGTTAGGCGTGCTGAGGACGTAAGTAGAATGAAATGTATTATTAAAACATCTGCACAAACTACATACCTTACAAAATGCAAAAACTGCATATATTTAAACTGTTTTAGAATCTGGCTCTTTACTTTGTTTGATGTGATTCAATAGTGTACAAACAGTAGAGTCCTTGGTTCCATGTGTATGTATCCATATACATGCACATACCCAACCCTTAATGGGACACTATAGTCACCAGAACAACTACAGCTTAATGTAGTTGTTCTGGTGAGTGTAGACAGCCCCTGCAGGCATTTTCATTTACAGAGAAAAGGCAGTGTTTACATTGCCCCCTAGGGACTCTTCCAGTGGCCACTCCTCAGATGGCCACTGGAGATGCTGCCTGGGGCAGTGCTGCACATTGTGAAGCACTACCATTAAGAGTCTCCATGCTCTGAATAGAGACGCTGAACTTTCCTTAGAGATGCATCAATGCATCTATGAGCAGGTGCCGATTAGCCAAGCCAACGTTTGGGTCGACCTGCCTCTTTGCCAATTTCAGCCAATCCACTGCTTAACCTATGGAAAAGCATTAGTATTGGCTGAAATCATAAATTCTGATGAAATAAGCAAAAAGGTGGATCAGGGGCAGGGCCAGCGCACACGCTAGGTATGAAGAAAGCGTTATTACTTTTTAAGAGGCTAAGGGGGGGGCAAGCCACTTAAATGATGGTTTTAACACTATAGGGTCAGGAATACATGTTTGAAACTTTCACTACCTACGTTCACACTTACTGTGAATTTTTTAACAATAAATATTGAAATAACCCTATTGATTGTGGCACAAGAACTTTAAAAATTGTCAAAAGGTGATCATTTCTACTGCATTAGTGCTGAAGCACTTTGATAAAAGTTTTTTTACACACTTATTTGAAATTGATCTAATTGTTTATTATGAAACACTACACTATATTATTTTTGGAGGTGTTTGAAGTTAACAGTTAATAGTGTTTGAATCTAAAATATAAAAGTGCATTTATAGAATAGTTATTTAATATTTGGTTTCAAAGCGCCTTTTTAAATTTACATAAATTATATTGTAAGCTAGTTTGCCTAGGGCCCTCTCTTCATCGATTCCTGTTAATATGTTGCTCGCCAATTTGCCACTTATACCGCCCCCTACTGTTGGAATCAAGTAAATCAGAAAATTACATCTTGGCAACAGAAACAGACTAGGAAGGTTTGGGTACTCACATGAAAATGGCTGCTGATTTCTGAAGGTAATCCCGCTCCTGTTGGTTGGAGGACTCAGAATTCATACTTTGTGTGATTGTAGAAATCAGAGGCTCGATGATGTTAAACACCAATGGGCTTTCAGGCTGCTTTTTAACAAAGACGTCAACCAGGTCCAGCACCTGCACAAAACCATTTTTGGAAAAATAGATGTCAAACGGCAGTATGTAATAAAAAAAAAAACAAAAAAAAAAAAAACTTTGGATAGACTACAGTAAGCAAGGTTTTACATATGTTAAAATAAAATATAATCTTAAATGGCAGCTAAACTACCATATTCTAAGTGTTGGAGACCTTATGGCAGATTGCTGACAATAAAAGATGGAGGTTTTTTTTCTGTGGTCACTAGCTTTTATGGGCTTACCTATCAAAAAAGTCACCATCAAAACTAAAATTCGAAAACTTAGGCCATTAACAGGATTTAACAAAAATACAGTCAGAGAGGGAATATGGGGTCTAATCCTATTTATTGACAGACACACCTTCAGGATCACCATGCTACCAAAGAGCTAACGCATGTACAGTGAGTGTACGAAACAGGTATATATATATTTATATAATTATTTAATTCTAGGAACCAGGATAATAGGCACACCCAAAACATTACAAATAATGACAGAGTTACAAATGTCAAGAGAGAACAGCAACAACTTAGGATGCATCTTCTCCCTCGCTTTAGTCAGGACTTGCCATACATCGTGGATGATGTAGGTCAGTATCTCACAAGCATTTGCAACTAAAGAACATGAAGACATTTTACATTCAACCCTTGAATGCACCAAGCCTAAAAAAATCAGCTTTTAGTAACATCTGGGCCTGATGACTCCCTGCCAAATTCCATGAAATAAATATATATACACATACATACATACATACAAAAGGTATATAGACAGTGTGTCTAATACACTGAGAAGCTATGTATTTATTTGCTAAAATTACTTTAAACATGGTCTTTTTTAGTGGCTATAAAATAAATAGTAACTTCTACCCCAGAAGATGGGCTAGGACAGAGCCTTCCATTATTTGTTCCTGCACATTAGTCTTAATCTACGACAGGTCTGTTTGGACCAATCTGCACATTGTAATTATGCCAAGTTAAAATCCAGTCCAGTTTGGTTGCTATCCAGCAAAGCACAGGTAGCATTGTTTTGTTTTTTGTCCCACTAAATCTAGCTAAACACCTAATAAATGCAAATTGCAAAGTGGAAAAGCTCAAGATTTGTAGCTCCTCCTGTCTAGTGTATGAAACGTCTCTGGGTGTAACTTAACTTGATGTTATAGCAGTTGAAGACGTAAAGAGCAATAAACACATAATATGCTTCATAGCAATGAGATTTGATGAAATGTTAAGCAGAAGTGAGTCTTCCTTAGAATGCCATTTGACTTCAATGGCCAAAGACACTGCATCATAGAAAGCCCAGGCATGCTTTTATTTTTATCGTATGAAATTAAAAACGTATTTATTCGAGACCTTAGTCTTAAAGTCTTTGCGTAGAATCTTCTCCTTGCGAATCCGCTCCTTCTCATCCTTCTTGGCCTGGATACGTTTTTTCTGCTCAGCAAACAGAGCGGAGAGGTTTTTATCCAAAGCCATCATTGCGTCATCATCCAAGTCATCATCGCTGTCTTGTCCCTCCTAAAGGATATAGACAGCATTAAAAGAATGTCCTAATTAGCCCATAGATGTATTTACATGCCACAAGTGTTCCTTGTAGTATCAATTTACCAGAGCAGTGCTATCCTGCATAATTTTCATGAGCTGTATACGGAAGTCGTCATTAACAGTTTCATTAGGGTCTTCATCACCACTATTATCATCATCATCATCTTCATCCTCATCATCTTCACTCTCATCATCTGAACCGCTGTCCTGTTCATCCTCCTGCGTAAGACAAGGTTCAGCAACAAACATTAGAATGACATTACAAGGGTCTAAAGTCTGTCTTTAACAGGCAAAACCCATGAAGGGTGATGCTAATCCCCTCGTGCTAGCTTACTGTTAAAGTAGAAGTGGATCTCCCACATTAGTAATATATTCATTTTTTTTACACATTTTAAAGTCACAGAATGGGTGTCTGAAGCTTCCCTAAAAGTGACCTTGTGAAGAGGTGGATCGGATCTCTGGGAAAACGTGAATACAAGGTACAGTCAGAGGTAAGGGTTTATGAGAAATTATATTGTGCATTGTTAATGCATTAACCATAAAATACATTAAAACTATATTGTAAATCCACACTTGACTGCCCCTTTAATGTGAGCTGTTGCAGAATTTTTTTAAATTATATATACATAATAAATTTAAAAATATATATTTTTTTTAAATCACCTTGTTTTCAGTGGATTTCTTTTGTCCCTTTTCTTCGGTTACTACAATAGCACCATCCTCACTGTCATCGTCTTCGGCATCAAGAACCTGAAAGAAAGAAATCGGACAGAATATTGAAAAACAGTAAAGAAAAAACAAAACACTTTTCTTTTATCGTTTAGTCTGGAGAGCATGTTTGTGTAGGGTGTGGGGCGTCTGTAACTATTATACTATAATTACAAAGTCACAGAAAAGACATATCCATACATTTTGTTTTTCTTCAATTTTTTTGGTTTAAACCCAATTAGAGTAAATTTTACTTACATTTAGGATCAATTGCAAAGCATTCTTTGTCACATATGGACAAATATTTTTAAATACGTTTCTTGCGACAAGTCGGAAAAGTCTGCTAGGTTGGGAGAAGAGTGACAGAAGGATCTCCACCATCACCTCAACCCATTCTGGCTCCTGGTCATCTGCCAAGGATAAAGATCAGTAGGAGAACATTAGAAGTGCAACAAATAGGACTATACCTTAAATCTACATATTGTTTTCATATGATGCGCTGTATTATAAATACAATGTTTTGCTGCACACTCTTTTATGCAGGATAAATAAGCCATGTTCTTCACAGTGTTAGGTTTGACTATATAAATTGTTCTTTCTTCCCAATGTTTAAGACACAACTAGGGCTATTTATCTATGAGTTCTGTATGTTTTATGTTGACATTCCATCCAGCTACTGCTCTGTTCATATCAGCATTTTACAGCTCTCTGTAATCCATTGCATGATGAAGAGTGATTAGGATCTGGGATAAATCCACTTCAGCACGGACAGGAGTGTGGTTCTGGAGCATGGTGGGAAAACAGCGGAAATTCCGTGTAAAGTTATTGGACAACAAAGTTTCCCCCAAATTGGTTAGGATGGCCCCCAGTTTCCCCTGAATTGGTTATGACGGCCCCCAGTCTCCCCCGAACTGGTTATGAAGGCCCCCAGTCTCCTCCGAACTGGTTAGGAAGGCCCCCAGTCTCCCCCGAACTGGTTAGGAAGGCCCCCAGTCTCCCCCGAACTGGTTAGGAAGGCCCCCAGTGTCCCCCGAACTGGTTAGGAATGCCCCCAGTGTCCCCCAAACTGGTTAGGAAGGCCCCCAGTCTCCCCCAAACTGGTTAGGAAGGCCCCCAGTCTCCCCCAAACTGGTTAGGAAGGCCCCCAGTCTCCCCCAAACTGGTTAGGAAGGCCCCCAGTCTCCCCCAAACTGGTTAGGAAGGCCCACAGTCTCCCCCAAACTGGTTAGGAAGGCCCACAGTCTCCCCCAAACTGGTTATGAAGGCCCACAGTCTCCCCCGAACTGGTTATGAAGGCCCACAGTCTCCACCGAACTGGTTATGAAGGCCCACAGTCTCCACCGAACTGGTTATGAAGGCCCACAGTCTCCACCGAACTGGTTATGAAGGCCCCCAGTCTCCCCTGAACTGGTTATGAAGGCCCCCAGTCTCCCCCGAACTGGTTATGAAGGCCCACAGTCTCCACCGAACTGGTTATGAAGGCCCACAGTCTCCACCGAACTGGTTATGAAGGCCCCCAGTCTCCCCTGAACTGGTTAGGAAAGCCCCCAGTTTCCCCCGAACTGGTTATGAAGGCCCCCAGTCTCCCCTGAACTGGTTATGAAGGCCCCCAGTCTCCCCCGAACTGGTTATGAAGGCCCCCAGTCTCCCCCGAACTGGTTATGAAGGCCCCCAGTCTCCCCCGAACTGGTTATGAAGGCCCCCAGTCTCCCCCGAACTGGTTATGAAGGCCCCCAGTCTCCCCCGAACTCATAGGGAAAGCCCCTGCCCTCTCTAACTGCTATGAAGGCCCCCAGTCTCCTCCAACTGGTTATGAAGGCCCTCAGTCTCCCAACTGGTTATGAAGGCCCTCAGTCTCCTCAACTGGTTACAGGAAGGCCCCAGTCTCCCCAACTGGTTATGAAGGCCCCTGTAGCCCCCGGAACTGGTTAGGAAGGCCCCCAGTCTCCCCCGAACTGGTTAGGAAGGCCCCCAGTCTCCCCCGAACTGGTTAGGAAGGCCCACAGTCTCCCCCGAACTGGTTATGAAGGCCCACAGTCTCCCCCGAACTGGTTATGAAGGTCCCACCAGTCTCCCCCGAACTGGTTATGAAGGCCCCCAGTCTCCCACCGAACTGGTTATGAAGGCCCACAGTCTCCACCGAACTGGTTATGAAGGCCCCCAGTCTCCCCTGAACTGGTTAGGAAAGCCCCCAGTTTCCCCCGAACTGGTTATGAAGGCCCCCAGTCTCCCCCGAACTGGTTATGAAGGCCCCCAGTCTCCCCCGAACTGGTTATGAAGGCCCCCAGTCTCCCCCGAACTGGTTATGAAGGCCCCCAGTCTCCCCCGAACTGGTTATGAAGGCCCCCAGTCTCCCCCGAACTGGTTATGAAGGCCCACAGTCTCCCCCGAACTGGTTATGAAGGCCCACAGTCTCCCCCGAACTGGTTATGAAGGCCCACAGTCTCCCCCGAACTGGTTAGGAAGGCGAACGAGCAGATAACCCAGATTAGCATAATGACCCAAAATCATACAACAGACTTACCTTCATCTTTCTTAGTTTTTTTCTTTGCTTTCTTGTTCTGAGCTTTTTCCAGACAGGCCTTAATATCACTCAGGATCTCCATACTCTCTTCGGGTGTCTTAAAAAAAACGGAAAAAAAACAAACACTTAGCAAATGAGCCTAATTAAGAAGAAACAGAAAATATCCAGTGAAACATTTGCCCATGATAAACACTGAGTGCCCAGGTTTTGGGATATAAGGCCCACTAAATTGTAATGATACAGTCTCCTGGTGACTATTAGTATAGGTCCCACAATGCAATGGATTTTGAGTAAAGTGTATCAGATACTTTCCATTGCAGGCTCACTGCAATAAGCTCACAGATAAAACAGATTTTAAATTGCATCTATTTTTCATTTCTAAGGTTTAAAAAAAAAATGAATGTCAACCAAAGAAGCTTACTGTACAAATGAGAGTTTATAAAGGAGCACTATTCAAGGCACCTGGAAAGCTATGCCGCAAACTAAACTCCTGGTAATGGAAATTACCCGAGTTCCAGGTTGTTGGGATCTCGGGTGACAAACTTAATTAATGTAAATCCTTTCTCCTAGCCCATATTTAGCACTTTCAATGGAAATGACAAAAATGGAATGACATGGTCATCAACTGTGCCACCTTCACATGTATTCAGTCCAACAGGCCACTAGATCCCCTCAGCTACATTAGTGCCCAGTGAGAAAAAAAAAGCAGGCTGATCAGATACCTATACAAACCTGCAAGGGATATCTCTGCCTTTTTAATTATTTATTTATTAATATATTTTTCTTCCATCTGGATTACCTATATAGTAAACATTTCTAAACGAGCATACACACACACAAACATGCACATTTATAGCAATGTAACAATAATCAGGAATATGATCAATATAACCTCCATAGGTTACAGTCATCATAGTGGCATATATCATTTACCTTAAACAGGTGAATTCCCACTAACAGCAATAGCTGCTGATAAGACGATGATTCCATAGTGACAGATTTCTTTGCTTTCTTCTTTAAACTTTCCACATGCTGCAGCATCCTACATAAAAGGAGAGGCTTGGTTATTAAGGATGGATAATATTAGGCAAGCAACTTAATTAAGAAACAATTCAGTACTCCTCATTAAAAACAATATCCATTTGTCCACTCAAGGCAGTCAATCTTTCCACCCAATGTGTTGGGAAGCAATCCTAAATGGAGATGAAACATTGTTTGACATTGGGTCACAAAGTGATCACATTGTCCTAGCGGACTGATGCACAGTTTTTTTAATTTCTGGAATGCTGGCCAGAGTGGTGGGACTAGGGGCAAATTTCCATAAAATGTTCATATGGCTCAGTAGTATATATTGCAAATGAAACAAAATGTAACTGGTTAATAGTATTGGATCCAAATTATCCACTTATTGGTATAAATAGAACATGAAACAGGATACGTAGACATTAGTCTTTGCCATATCTCATACCGATCCCATGATGCCTTCTGTTCTTCAGTGAAGGGTGTAACGGCCTTCACCAGTTTTCCACGGGAAAGCAAGGTGTTGGCATATTGAATCATATACTCAATCCAAAGGACTCCATCTGCAGTGACTCCAGTCGCTTGTCTCTGCTTTGCCGGGGCCGCTGCTGGACTGTCCCCCATGACAGGCATGCAGTTCAAATGAAAGAGCAAGCTGATCGAGGAGGAGGAAAAAGAGAGCAAGAAATTAAAATTATTTCAAACAATCTTGTTCTTGTAAAACACATGTATATTTTATGTAAACTTATTAACGCATACACAGTTCTATCTCTTTGCTATAACTTGTCGCTGCCTTTACAACACGTAGGGCTCTGTGCAAGGTCAGTTATCGGGAACTTCCTCGTCCACATAATTATTGGGAAATCTGAACTGTTATCTTTTAATGCGCTATTCATTTTCAAACAATATTTTACAATAACATTAAGCACTCTCAGTTCTGCTCCTCAATGTGGCATTTATCATTTTTGCTTTGTTACATGTGCCGTCCAAGTGCCAGATGTTCATGTCACCAGAAGAGTCTGTATGGAACCACCAACCAGCAGCCTGATTAAGCAGCAGCAGCATCAAGTACACACTAAGATTCATAGCACAAAATGTCTAACCTGAAAAAGGCATCTGCCACTAGTGCTCGCAAGTTATCCTCTAGAGGTACGGACAGGGTTGACTTTGTTTCCGGAATATTAGAAACAGGCATTTTAGCTTCGAAAAAAGCATGGAAGAAAATAAACCTGAGGACAAAAATAAAATCAGTCAGTAACATAATACTACAGCAATGAACTTATGTGTATTATTAAAAAAAAATGTTTAACGTTTGTTTGATATATTAGTCTTGTGATACAGATTATTTAGGCTAGTTACCTGATTTAAATAACACTATAATCCCCAGAACAACTACAGCTTCATGTAGGGTCTGGTGTCTATAGCCTGTCCCTGCAGGCTTTTCAATGTAAACACTGCCTTTTCAGAGAAAAGGCAGTGTTTACATTGCTGCCTAGTAACACATCTAATGGCAGTCGCTCAGCAAGCCACTCGAGGTGCGCCCTTGGTCAGAGTCGCACAGTGTGCAGCACAGACATTCAGCATTTCCACTAGTGTTAATTTTGTGACTAACAATTTTAGTCAGATTTAATTCAAATAACTAAAATACGACAAAGTAAAATGGCTTTAGTCAAAAGCCTAAAACTAAATAGAAATTTGCAGCCAAAACAAACACTGAAGGATAATACAGATGAGGAAGGTAGGAGAGGAACTGAGACGCTTGGTGGGGACTGCAGGAATGAGACGCTTGGTGGGGACTGCAGGAATGAGACGCTTGGTGGGGACTGCAGGAATGAGACGCTTGGTGGGGACTGCAAGAATGAGACGCTTGGTGGGGACTGCAAGAATGAGACGCTTGGTGGGGACTGCAGGAATGAGACGCTTGGTGGGGACTGCAGGAATGAGACGCTTGGTGGGGACTGCAGGAATGAGACGCTTGGTGGAGACTGCAGGAATGAGACGCTTGGGGGCTGCAGGAATGAAACACGGGGGAGCTGCAGGAATGAGACGCTTGGGGGGGCTGCAGGAATGAGACGCAAGAAGGGACTGGGGGGAGGGAATAAGCGCATGGAGGGGTTTAGGGGAGAATGAGACACGCGGAGGAAATTAGTTGCATGGAGCAGCTGGGAGACACACAACGTGATAGATGGGCTGATGGAGAAAGAGACATGGGGCTGTGGGGAAGAGATCCACAAATGGGGCTATGAAGAGAAACGATGGTGGGGGGGTGTACAAATAGCCACAGAGGGGCTGAAGAAGGGGCACTAGAGACAGACCAAGGCTTGGGAGTGAGACACTTTGAAGGGCTGGGAAAATTCAAAGACACAGAGGGGCTGGGGAAGGGGCAAAAGAGACAGAGAGAGGCTTTACCTAAACCCATTAAAATGTAATCAAGTTGACTAAAATATAGTGAAGATTTAGTCAAGGAAAACAAAAAATAAATTCAGATGCCTAAAATACGACTAAAACGGCCAAAATTAACACCGGTCTCCACGCTCTGCATGAAGACGATGAATGCTCCCCATAGAGATGTACAGATTCAATGCGTCTCTAGGAGGAGGAGTATATTACTGTGAATGTGCAATATCCTCTCCTTATCTCTTTTTCCTATGGACAAGCATTGAATTGGCTGAGATTGGCAAGATTAACGATCTGAGCAACGGAGGCGAGGCCAGGGCGGCGTTGGAGAAAAGGTAGGTAAAGCGATCTCTGAACTCCATACTGAGGAGAGCCGGGGACTTAAGCACATAGTCCAACACTATTCATGTTTGCATTCCTAACGCTATAGTACTCCTTAACCCCTTAAGGACCAAACTTCTGGAATAAAAGGGAATCATGACTTGTCACACATGTCATGTGTCCTTAAGGGGTTAAAATAAACAGTTATTTCTGAATGTGCAAATAGCAAACTAAACTTAAAACTATTGTGCAGGAACATACAATTTGGTAATCACATAGTTGCACAGTACATAAGTTTAAAGGGATGCAAAGGAAAAAATATATATTGAATAACTTTATAGTCGATTTTTTTCTTTTTTTAAATGAGGTCGGCAAGGGTAGATTGCACAAAAAGATTAAACACAATAATGTATAATAGTCTCAGAGAGAGTTACTGATTTACGTAGATCTGTGCAGCAAGTTACTGCCAATAACGGCTACACACTTGCACTTGTATTAACTGCTGAACCTTCCAGACACAAGTCAGCACATTAACGTGACAATGGTAGCCATCACTTGCTTACTTACCGAGCAATGTCCCTAACTTGTTCCTCACTGCGTTTTACCAGGTTGTTCTCAGCAATGCTGCAAAGACGAGGAATTATCCATTTTCTCAAGCGGAACACAAAGTAATCAGTTCTGAAAAACAATATTGTATTGATTGGTGCCAACAAAATGTGTCCAGTTATTGGCATTAATGGCTTGAAGAGAAACTAACAGGACACTGACTGGGCTATTTACTAAAGAGAGAGAATCATCAGGACTTCATAGAGAATTTCTAAATGTAGGCCAAAATAGCTGGACTGGAAAAATTCTTCAAGTCAATTCTAACTTCAGATTGGCTATTTTGGCCCTAAACGCGAACGTCACTTTGATTCCCAGCAATTCTCATTTTAGTGAAAAAACCTGTGGCTGTATGCAGAAGAGCAGCAAAGTTACTTCTACAGCAAAAATAGAATATCTAATCACCAGTAGTAATCGGAAGCAGGAGAATATCTCAGCTTTACTGAAATAAAGTTTCACTTATTCCAGTTTCCAATTAACCCCTAATAAATGTTCATATACGTATTTGTTAAATGGAAAAGTTGGTGACCCAGGTACTCTGATAAGTGGGACCAAACAGGTCAGGAGAGATCATGCCATTAGAACCATGTTACACAACATCCATATTACACACTAATAGTCACTGATCTAATGAAGATATGAATAACACTAAAAGCGATGTCATGAGAGCAAGTTTATTTAAAGAGAAGTTGACTGGGTTTAAAAAATATAACAAAAAAGTTGTTGTTATGAATATTCTATTCTATCAAAATGTTTCAAAGACTCACGATATCTGCTGCTCCTGCTTCTCCTTCTGCCTCTTCGTGCTAAAGTCCATACAAGAACTCAGATCTGCCTGGATGAACATGTTCTTCAACCAGTCTATGTATGATTGCAGAGCAGCAGGCTGCATATGTCTGATTACTTTCCAGACACTGGGTACTACTGGGTATCCCTGGTTAGTGAGCAAGCTAAATCCAATCATCACTGCTGCCTGCTTCTCAGGATCTGTGCACTCTGCTAGGTACGCATCCATATATGATTCCATCTCTGGAGAAAACTTGAAACGGTCAGCAGGCTGCAAAAGAATATAATCACTTAGTGTATTTTAATTTACCATATACACATGTTTATATTTACACACACACTTTTTTTTCCTAATTATTTTTCATATAAAAAGTTTTGTGTTTTTTTTTGTTTTTTTAATTTTGATCTTTCAACGGTATAGCATTTAGTTCCCTAATTTGGCTTCTCAATTCGGTAACCTTAAATTTGGTGAACACACTTGACAATACCAAGTTAGGAAATTATTTACTAAACTGGATAAAGATCGAAATTAAGAAAAGTGCTTTTTAGCAATTTTTATGTATCAGCTGTTTAGAAGGTAGCTCCCTAATTGGGTATACTTATACATGCCAATCCCACATAAGGATTCCAAATTAGGGATCCATCTAATATTTTTAATTTTATTTAGCTATATAGATGAAGGTGGCCCACTATTTACAGGCATGGCGAATGCGGAAAAAGATTGCTGACCCCCTTACTTGAGAATTTGCATAACATGAAGTCATGTTAAATGTGGGGGATTATTGTGCACAGACATTTCCTTATATACGTACCTGAGTGGAAACAACATGCGCTCCATAGTGTAGCATTACTTCACTCCGGAGGACAATCTGCAGCTGGCTTAGGTCGAGGAGAGGCAAAGAAGCACCCAGCAGCCGGTAGCACATGTAACTACAATCAAAACAATGATCATCAATTGCAACAAAATACAATTTTCTTTTTAAAATAAGGAAAATAATTAGAACATTATTAATGACTGCAACAAACATGTGCTGAGCTATGAATGTAAAACAAATCAGGAGTAAGGTATTAAAGCACAGAGGAAGTTCATTCACCTGGTAGACTATTACCCTCTAGTAAAACTAACAATAGGAAGAAAATTGAATACCGCTAATAAAAGAAAAAGGTCTGATACACCATATAAAAATGATGTCTGATACGTGGACTTGTTGTCCATTGAGAAAGGCACGTATGTGTGCCAAAACGTTGCAGGTAGGGACACAAGGGCACTAAAGCGGGCTGTAGTAGTTATAGTGATAGGAATGTTCCGTTAATAAATTTAGTCCAACACCAAGCAATGACAGGCTAGAATATCTGTAGTAGATGTAACATGTACCACTGCCCAGGAAATCTGCACATACACAGCCCACAATAATGAGAACAATACAGGAATAACATGAGAACTCATTCACAAGTTATTCTTTTAAGGTGCAGTGTAATCCATGTGCGTCTGGAAATATCTTAGAGGCTTATGTAACCATCTGCAACACGTCATGCAATACCTGCATTCCCCCAGGTACCAGTGTAGTTTAATTTCTTTTACAACTGCATAAACCGAAGCACCAGGCAAGCCACCACTTTAAAATAAAGGGGGGAGAGGGGGACAGAGAGGGGGGAGTAATTCGTTTTTTCTGGTACTTTGTTAATGTTTGGGTGGGAGCATGGTGAGAAACATACATAAATGATAACGAAATGATAATGTCGCTGTATTACTAGTTGGGTTTTTAAATTACATTTTACTTTGCAGCATACATGTAAGACAAATGGCTGGTAACACAAGCTAAATGTAGAAGAAACATACGTGCACGGGCCGGACTGGTCTTTAAGCAAACTATTCTCCACTACTTCTTTCCAGAACAATTCGAAGGCTTGCTCCTTCACAGACATCCGCATCAAGTCCAGTGCTACATCTGGCAGGCTGCGCTCCTTCTTCACCGACCGAGCAGCCATTTTCAACATCTCTACCAACCTGAACATAATAAGATTTCAGTCATGAACTTGTTCCTTTTGTGACAAAAATGTAAGCTGTAAACACAATACGAAACTCCAAATGTTCTAACACCCCTATTATATTTTTACACCTGTTCATTTGTAGCAGCAAAGTAATTTTAAATTGTAGTTTTGGAATCAGTTTTTAAATGCCACTCACACAGATACGTCTCCCTACGGTGTGTGTAGTAGTAGTAGTAGTAATCTCACAGAAAGATGGAAAATGGAGACACAGGCATGGACCCACATTATTTAAATGGCATAAGTTTTGAGATCCTGGTTTTTAATGTTAAAATTACCTTATTGACCCACTGAAATGAATAACGTTTGGACTTCTTACGTAGGGTCTGCCAGACAACACTCTCCGGCTCCACTGTTTGCTGTGGAGAGCAAGAAGCTTACCATGTGAAGTCGTGGAGGAGGGTAATGTATCCGACAGACTCCAGGTACAAAGTCATATGGTTTGACTACCTAATAGTTTGATGACTTACAGTCAGGGCCCTGAGGGCACAGTGTGCTGTAGTGGGTATAGTTCTTCATGTTTCTTTAATTCTGAGAAACCCCTTAATTAGACTCTTTATATTGTCTTAGTAAAGCAATGATGCTGCAGTAAGCAGTTTATTACGGGCAGTTGCCTTGTCAATATCATGTATCTGTTTTAGGATTTGGACTTACTCTATTTTGAACCGCAACCCTGAGATTAAGAACCACTGAACTATAATGTCACAATTGGTATAAGTAAGAAAAAACAAGTTCTTAACGGCAAATAAAAAACATACACAATTGATATTAACATGCTAGTTAATATCAATACATGTGACGCTAGTAGTACCAAGCAGGCAAACGACACGTTATACTTGTGCTCTCACAATGCTTGTTTTACTACCAGTATGATGGTCTGAAAAACAATCTGCCCTTTTAGGCAAAAAGACAGCACTGTTCTGAGAGAACAAAAAATATTAAACTTTGTGATTCTAAACAAAACCACCCAAAGCAAAATGTGATATAGCTATTACAATACATTTACAAACAGCTCTTTTAAGTGTGGCGTTTTTTTGCTTTCTCACATAATCAATATTTCCACTTAAGAAAAGATTTTTTTGAGCGTGCATGAACTTAAATACTGCTTTTGTGAACAGAAGGATTCATGCTATATTAAATGTTATATCTTACTTAGGAATGTTTTCCACTGTAGTAATGGTCGACGAACCCAGCAGCCTCTTCAGTTTTTTAGGCTTTAGCACTGCAGGAAACATCTGCATGCCAACTAGGAGTAAATGCAGCTGTTCTGGAGTGCTGAACGCAGATGTCAAATCAGACTGTAGCTCTCTGAACAGCACTTCCTCAAATGTTGATTCTGGAATCTACGAGAGAAGTTAAAACACACGGTCACAGCTACCTTTAGATTGAATAACCATTAAAGTATTATTTTTCAACTACTCTTGCTTATATGGAAACCTCTGTGAGAAAAGTCATAAAAAGCAGAGATTAGGGAATTATTTCTATAGAGGTTTGCAGTCTCAAGAAAACTATTTTACAAGTAGTCCAAATTTTGGGGTATTGAAGAACTATGCATTTGGATACAGAAATTATGTACCAGACAAAAATATTAAAAACAATTCACACAAAATTAAACCATTAGAGTAACTCTTCTAAACAGAATGGTCACTGGTAAATAATAAGTGGCGATTAATTAAATTGTCTTTGCCGCTACCTCAATTTTCTGCTAAAGAGCAAAAATAAGGATGTCGGAAGGACTCCTACCTTGGCACCCCAAAGACATTTTATCAAATACTAATATAAATTATTACTGTGCTAGCAGTTTTTTGTAAACTTAATCATAAACTGGGAGATGGTTTCATATGTGAAAAAACAAAACAAAATGTCTGACGTCTGGTATGTTTACTACTATAGCATGACAAACATATGTCGATATATGAAAAAGATATGAAGAGTAAAACTTTGGAAGTCAAAAGGACTGGTGGGCAAGACAGCACTGGGAGACAGAAAAGTTGCCTGCTCTGTTGTCATCTACTGCACCAGTCCATGATAGAATGCTCCAAGTGGCAAATCATACCTCTGTCAGAATATCCACTAATGTCTTGTTGGGCAGGTCTTTCAGGTGTTCTCTGTACAGAGACAGACGCTGCAAAAGCTGTACACAACGTAGGAGAACATCATGATCCTGCAAATAAAATAGGATGGAGGTATTTAGTAAGAACAAGAATTAAAATAAAAATCAAACTCCCTATGTTAACACAAGAGTCTAGCATGCTAGATTTCTCTGCAATGAGGAAGTGAATGCAAAAAATAAGTGACAATTCTTCCAAACTACAATGTAACGTATATCGGCAGTTCTCAGTTTAAAGGAGATGGCATTAAGGATAATTCTTGTTTAAAAATTGACAGTTGCAGTAAGGTGGCAGTAAATGATCTCTCTTATACAAGTTAGGCTAGTTTGGGCTACACAAGTGGAATTTTATAGTTAGTTGTGGTCCTTTATATTAATCATATTACAAATTACATTTATAAACATTGACAAAACCAGATTTGCTTTCTTAAGATAGAAATACAAAAAAAAGGTAGTGGAAACATTCTTGAACATCCTTGACTGAATGAACTTGCTGGCACCACCAACTAAACCACACTCAAATACACTGAGATTATAAGCTTACCAAAGTATGTTTGGTTGAAACCCATAGAAAGTTTGTGGCAAAAGACTTTCTATATTCATTATTACTCTTGCATCTGTATTTATAACTGACTATCAAAGTTAAAAATGTGTTGTATATAGGGAGAAGAAGAAAAACAACAACAAACACCTAGGCCCTAGGGCAGGGATAAGCAACTCCAGATGTTGTGGACTACATTCCCCATAATGTTCTTACACCCATAATGCTGGTAAAGCATCATGGGATGTGTAGTCCAAAACATCTGGAGTGCCAAAGGTTGCCTATGCCTGCCCTAGGGGTTGTTGTTTTTCTTCTTCCCCTATATAGGAACATTGTATTTACCATTGATATTATATGGATTCCATGTGTTACTTAACAAGGAACACAAGGTGGCAGTATAAAGGCATTCTTACAAGAGTCCAAAAACAGTCTTCATTAGAACATGGAACAATGGCCGTTACTATGGATTTTATATTTCCAAAGCCACCCAGTGTGGCAGGCCGGCCCTTCAACTGTCCATTAGACTTTCTGCTCTCTTTTCTCCTTATTACATTTTAATTATGCTCCTCATTCCACTCATGTTGATGTCCTTCAATAAACATTGTAATGCAGCTTTGAACATAGAAGTATGAGGAGTTTGTTGACTAAACACATTTATGTTATTTTCATTAAGACAAACATTTCAACAAGGACACTGATAACCAGTAGATGTATGCTAGTGATTTAGTGAAAACAGAAGTGGGACTAGCTGGAGAAGAAAAGACAAGCAATATTCAGAGAATGTCTGTGGTGTACAAGGTTCTGTTTCTTACCTTGATGAGACGACCTGACTGGAACAAGGCAAGGACACCAAAAAAACTCCCAAACGCAGCATTTCTCACAGATTTCTGGAGGGGAAAAATCCTGGCCATGAGATTCATTTTGGATTTAGAGCTACAGTACAGTTCAGTAGTACTAGATCAGCATTTTATCTCTTCCATCAAAAACCACCATGAAGTCACAATGTCAATCTATCCATAAAGTAGCACGTCATTTAATCAGTAGCCAAGTCAATATATTGTAAGTTCACTTTTTACCGATACAGATATTCACTAATCCTGACCTCTTGGTGGGTCTTGAGAATAGGTTTGAAAAACACTACACTAAAAGCACATTAATGTTTCCTGCAAAAGTCCAAAGAACACAACGAGCACAGTATAATAGCCGTTTCATTTAGACCACACCTTGGTGGGTCCTGAAAATAGGTTTGAAGAACAATACACTAAAAACACAAGCACATTAATGTTTAAAGAACACAACGAGCATGGTAGAACAGCAGTTTCATTTATACCACATATAGGCCATTTAATGAAATTGTTGATAGATCCTAAATTACATAGACACACACATTCTTAGATGCATGCAATTTAAATATTTGCTGGAACTCTACATAATTGAACTATGGAGTAAGCTAAGGCTTTTAGTTGCCATCAACCACCTTGATTCCTGAACTAGGTTCCCTGTGCCAATGACATAACAGAATATGGCTCATAATCTTTCAGAGCTGATATCATCATCATCAAAGGTCTAGAATTTAATGGACACTATAGTCACCAGAACAACTTATTGTATTTGTTCTGGTAAGTAAAATCATTCCCTTTTTGCTGTGTTTTCAGGGAAAATGCAGTGTTTACATTACAGCCTAGGGATACCTTCACTGGTCACTCCTTAGATGGCTACTAGAGGTGCTTCTTGGGCCAGTGCTGTGTCTCCACCCTCTGCATACACACTGAACTCTCCTCATATAGATGCATTGATTCAATGTATCTCTATGAGGAGATGCTGATTGGCCATGGCTGTGTTTGGCTTGTGATGGCTCTGCCCCTGATCTGCCTCCTTGACAAGCTCAGCCTATCCGATAGGAAAGCTTTTGATCACTACTTCTGATGATGCCAGCCAAGTAGGCAGATCAAGGGCAGCGCCAACAGTAGACTTGAATAAAAGGTAAGATTTTACTATATTTAGGAGAGCAAGGAAGTGCAGGGGGGCTAGAAGGTGTTTTTATCACTATATGGTCAAAAATACGTTTGTGTTCCAGACCCTATAGTGATCCTTTAGAGAAAACCTGCCACCACTTACCTGACCTTCCGCTCCCCACTGCAAACTCCTTACAGAAGTGAGTGTTTAAATTCTGTAACACCAACCTCTGGTCCACTCTCACTCATCCTATGGTCTTCACTGATCTACCCTGCTTGGGGATGCTAATCCATGCAGGGAAAACCTCCATCTTTTATTCCGAGGGGAAAGGATTGACAGGAGGAAAACAAAACAGATAAAAACTATTTTGAATAGTTATTTCTCCCAATCTATGCATGCCCATGCTCTTTCCAAAGAGCATTAGTGTTTGGTGGTTGACAGGTCCACTTTAAAGGACCACTATAGTGCCAGGAAAACATACTCGTTTTCCTGGCACTATAGTTCCCTGAGGGTGCCCCCACCCTCAGGGTCCCCCTCCCGCCCGGCTCTGGAAAGGGGAAAGGGGTAATAACTTACCTTTTTCCAGCGCTGGGCGGAGAGCTCTCCTCCTCCTCTCCGCCTCCGATCCTCCCCGCCGGCTGAATGCGCACGCGCGGCAAGAGCTGCGCGCGCATTCAGCCCGTCGCATAGGAAAGCATTTACAATGCTTTCCTATGGACGCTTGCGTGCTCTCACTGTGAAAATCACAGTGAGAAGCACGCAAGCGCCTCTTGTGGCTGTCAATGAGACAGCCACTAGAGGGAATAGGGGGAAGGCTTAACCCATTCATAATTATAGAAGTTTCTCTGAAACTGCTATAATTATGAAAAAATGGGTTAACCCTAGCTGGACCTGGCACCCAGACCACTTCATTAAGCTGAAGTGGTCTGAGTGCCTAGAGTGGTCCTTTAAATGTAATGCAGTGCTCAATGTAAACCAGCAAATATGTCAGTTTACCTAACTAGTGCCACCAAAAGAAATAAGAACTAAAATTAAGGTTTGGTGTCACTTTAAAAAGCATTCTTACATGCAAATCACAATATAATTCTGCTTAAGCCAACACTTGCCTTTTTCACTTTCTCAGGGTTATGTTTCTCAAGGATGTGTTCTAAGACTGTGGAGAGTGGGATGTCTTCAAAGCATTGCAGGACCTTTAATACACAAAAAAAGTAAATAAAAGGCCAATAATGTAAACAATTATTTTCAGACTGTCATGTGAAACATGCCTGTGCCAGAGCCAAACTGAATCCAGGACGTGCAAGCTCACGGGTTGCTGCCAAGCCTTCTACAAGACGTTTAAAGGTGTACTTCAGTTCATCTTCCTATAAGGAAAAAGAAATACTATGAGTAAGGCAGATTATGTTTTTAATAAATACGTAAATCACTATACTTACCAGCAATTAACATGTATACCATGTTGGTGTTATTAACCAGAACTCTTTGCAGAAAATAAGTATACGTAAGAAGAAAAACTATTACTTCTCCGTCTCTACTCTTCCTGCTTATTTTTTTTTAAAGGTAAAGTCTAGGCACCATAACTACAGTACAGGAGTCCCGTGATATAGTCTCACAGTAAGTATTCAAACTGTTTTTGAACAATTTTAGGTTCACCTGGATCCTCCGTGGGCACCTCCTTTCTGATTTATCTAAAGTAGAAGATTACTTTCTGCAATAGATTTGGATAGAATTCTTTGGCCAAGAGCATCAGCGGACACACTTAGCCAAAGAAAAGCAAAGAAGCACTGGGGAATTGAAGACACTAATGTAAGAACCTGCAGAATCAGATCAGGAGTCTGGTTTTGAAGACACAGGTTATTGCCAATAAATATGAAAATGTTCTGATCATCACCAGATGACGGAATTCCAGGGAATTTTCAAACTCTGTCAGTGTTTCATAAAATATCTTGAACTTCTGCATTGTGACAGTATCAGTTTAATCATAAGTACCCCCCTACTGTACTCATGCAGTGTCATTATAATCATTATAAACAAAGCCATAGTTCACTGACTGGGAATGTCTTTGCATTCTTAATAATGCTGCCCTATCTCTAATACCCTTTTCATTCCATTTAATAATGCTGCACTATTTAACATCTCTGATACCCTTTTCAATCCGTTTAAAATACCAGCTCTTCCTGTACAGATCATTGCCTTTTGGTTTGTTATGCAAATCAGTTCACCCACACGGTGTGACCCAAGTTATTAAACCTTTACCCTAACCGGAGCCCATTTATTTAATACTCAGAATTGCTGATTATATCAAATTAGGATGTATGAAAAGACATAACATACAGATGTGAGCAGCTTAAAGGATTGTGTTACTAACAGATCAGAATTAAACACTTTCTCATAGCATTACTGTGACAGACCCACCTTGGTGCTGGACTTCAGGTACTGGATGAGGTTCTCAGTAGCGGTCAGTCTGATCTCCTGGTCCGGCTTGGCTATGTCCCAGAAGAAGTCTAGGAACTCTCGGTTAGACTGCACCCCCCGGATGGTGAAGTTTGGGGATTTCTTGGACGGAGTTTGCACGGCATGCTGCGCAGTATCCATGTCGGGGCTGCTCTCCACGGCCATGCTGAGCCCCTACACACGTGTTAGAAGAGATCGCTTCCGGGGTCACTGTACCGCACATGCGTCACATCACTGTGTGAGGTCTTTGCAGTCAGGGCAGTGTGTGGGAATGGGTTTGGGTTGTGAGCTATTGGCTGCACTATACTGAAGGCGATCAGAGCCGGATTAAGGCTGCCCAGGGTCACTAGCAGAGTGCCAGATTGGGGCCCTCTCCTACAGCCCTGGGCTGTGTTTCTGTGAGTGGTGTGTGTGTGAGAGAGGAGGCTGAGTATGAGGGTCAGAGTGTGTGTGTGTGCATTTCTGACTCAGTGTGTCAGTGTCTCTGGCATTGTGTACATCTTTATGATGCCTGAGCATCCTTGTGTGCGAATGTGTGTTTGTCTGGGAGTGTATGAGTGGGATAGTTGCTTGTGTTGTATTGTATATAAGGGGGGGCTACTTGTGGTCTTTGTGTGTTGTGTTTATGGTGAGGCTGTGTTTCATGCGTGGAGGTGATTGTGTATGATGATCTTAAGGGAGTATCTGTGACAATGTGATTATGAGTGCGACAGGGTTTGGAGGTGAGGGGTGAGTGTGGGAGTTGGGGTATTGATGAGCAGTGGCGGCTCTAGACTTTGTGAGGCCTTAGGCGAAACTCAAACATGAGGCCCCCACTAACACCCAAAGTGGGGGGAGAAAATAGGGGTTGCATTGTGTGTATAAGGTACTGTAACTGTATTGGACAAGCTTGCAGCGCTGGATACAGAGAGCTAGTCTCTGCATTCATTGTTCAGAGGCTTGCTGTGTAGCGACTTCCTGTGCTGCTGTGTTGCGAGCGCTCCGACTGTAGTTATGGCATAATTTGCAAACTAAATTAATTTGCAATAAACAAATTTAATTAGCAATTCTGCTAATCATTTATACACAACTGCGGGGTATGATTACATAGGCTTGCAGTCGTGTATACATTACTGCCAGTGTGTTTATTTCTGAATGTGTCTGGCATTGTCTACCTGTTTATGTGCATGAAAGTGTGTGTCTGAGTGAGAGTATCCTTGTGTGTGAATGTATGTCTTTATGAGTATGTGTCTGGGACCGTATGTGTGTGGGGTACCTGCTTGTGGTTTGTGGTGTTTATGGGGGCTGCCTGTGACCTTTGTGCATGTGTGTATGATGAATGTCTTGAGTTTGTGACTGTGACAAGGTGAATAAAGGGGTAACTGTGGCAGACTGAGAGTGACAAGGTGAGGGGGTAAATGAGACAGGGTTGGGGGGGTTAGTGTAACAGAATGAGGGATGGTGAGAATAATAGGGGGGTGATTGTTACATGGTTGGAGGAGGGAGTGTGACAGGGCATGGGGAAGTAAGTGTGACAGGATTGGAGGATGTTAATGTGACAAGCTGCAGGTGGCATAGTTGGGGTGAATGTGCCATGTTTGGAGGTGGAAGTGTAACAGAATGAGGAGAAGTGTGTGTGACAAGATTAAGGGGTTAATGTGGCAGGATTAGATTAATGTGGAAGGGTGAGTGTGGCAAGGTTTGGGGTGAGTGTGGCACAGTTGGAGGACAGGATTGGAGGGGCTTATGTGGTAGGGTGAGTGTGGGAGGTGGAGGGGGGTTGAGGGTTGGAAGGGCAGTAACAGGGGGTAGGTGGGATGATGGGGCAGTAACAGAGGGTAGGTGGGCTGGAGGGGCAGTAACGGGGTAGGGTGATCTAGGGGCAGTGACAGGGAGTAAGAGGCATAATAACAGTTGGAAGGGGGTTCATAAATACCTTCCGTGGTGGTCCTGTAGGCGCCTTCTCTCCACGGTGGTCCGGCCCTCTGGACTGCAGCTCCGCCGGGACAGGAGGGAGATCTCTAGACACTTCAGCCTGCAGCTTTCTCCTAGCAGAGCTGCAGACAGGAGGCTGGCTCTCTCTCGGGCAGGCTGACTGGAGGGGCCTTGCACCCGGCGGCATTATGGGCAAGCCACCGGGCACCCTCCTCTGTCAGGTCCTCGGTCCCTCAACATGGTAGTCTGCCCTGAGGCAATTTTGGCAGCTGTGAGGGCCCCATCAGCGCGAGGGCACCTAATTAGAGATCTGCCTCATACAGAGTGTGTAATAATATCAGAACATATTTCAAAATATAATCTGAAATGTGAATCTTTCCCATTATTCATCTGTATTAATAACTCCTATGTTTCAATTTTCAAAAGATATTTGAATTAGTTTGCAGTAGTCCAACTCCCAGCTAATATAAAATGAAAAGGAAAATAGGGGAAATACAAAATAGAAAAAGGACAATAGCACTCTGTACAGCTTTTTATCAACAATACAATTATTTTGTGAGTAGTTTCTGTATCGTGAGTGAGTGGTGGTCTTGTATGGTTCAAGGCCATTCCAAGGGGTCTTGTTGCGTGGAGGTAACCTCATGTTCTCTTCAGGTTCTGATCTGCGGTTCATCTCTGGTTTGTGGAAAGAGTATCTTTCTTGGGTGTTGTCTGGATGCTTGAGGTTTGTGCCAGAGAGTGGTGATGGTGGTCTCTTACGAATGTGGCTATCTGGAGGTCAGTGGTGTCTGAAGAGTGAATCCCAGTGTTTTAGCAAAGGTTGCCAATTTGCTTATGTCTGAGAGCGTGTGGGTTACATTGTCCCTTTAGACCCGTTAGTTTAAATGGTTGCACCCATCTGTAGGTTACTCCTGTTTTACTGAACAATGTAATTAATAGATTCAAGTCCTTGCGCTTGCTGAGCATGATTGGAGATATGAGTGCGGCGAACATGAGTAACAAACACATTCCTAGGAGTGGTTTGAAATCTTCCCCTCATCTCTAGCCATTCGCTAATGAAAATCTAGCACTGCTGAGTAGAAATTAACTAAGTAGAAATGTGACATTCATTGACCCTGCAGGCTTGCAGTGACAAATACATTTAAAGTCTAGCTTGTGGGGTTGTAGGACTTTGGAGTAAGACATTTTAAGCCCTGCTCCCAAGCACACATGTACTCACATACAGCCTGAAACACTGACACAGTATCTTCACACATGTAAAATATCATTCCTACACACATAACACAAACATCCTCCTCACAGGGCCGCCATCAGGGCATGACAACCATAACGGTTGTCATGGACCCGGCAGTCCTTGGGGGCCCGGACTGCTCTGGCAGTCTGAGCCCCACATTCCTTAAGTGCACAGATATATAGCGAATTTCGCTATATATCTGTGCACTGAGGGCGCCCCCCCCCCACCTGTAAATTGCAGAGGGGGGCCCAGCAGCACACTCTGTCCTCCTTCCAGCTCCTCTCTTTCTAACTCTCCTGCGGCCACCAGAGCGTTGCCACGGTTTACCATGGCAACGCTCCGCACAGCACACAAGCCGGTCTTGCGAGAGTTCATCAGAGAGGAACTGGAAAGGAAGACAGTGTGCTGCTGGTCTCCCTCTGCGATGTAACGCGGCTGGCTCTCTCCACGGAACCACCAGGGAATGCGATCTCCCCCCTCCCTGGCAAGGTAAGAACCAGGGAGGGGGGAATAAAATTAAAATTTTAAATATACACAAATATTTTTTTTTTTAATACTCCCCTCCCTACTACTTTACACAAACACTGCATCCTTACAAGCACACACACACTAAATTCACGAAACACACTCTGCACTACACACACACTACATTCACTAAAACACACTCTGCACTACACACACACTACATTCACTAAACAAACACACTACATTCACTAAACACACTCTGCACTACACACACACTTCATTTACTAAACACTCTGCACTACACACACACTACGTTCACTAAACACACTCTGCACTACACACACACTTAATTTAGTAAACACACTCTGCACTACACACACACACACATACTACATTCACTAAACACACTCTGCACTACATACACACTACATTCACTAAACACACTCTGCACTACACACACACACTACATTCACTAAACACACTCTGCACTACACACACACACACTACATTCTCTAAACACACTCTGCACTACACACACTACATTCACTAAACACACTGCACTACACACACACACACTACATCCACTATACACACGTTGCACTCACTACAAACACTGCATTCACTATACACACTCTGCATTCACCACAATTACACTACATTCACATACACATTTTGCATTCACAATACACATTTTGCATTCACTACAATCACACTACATGAACTATACACATTTTCCATTCACTACAATCACACTACACGAACTATACACATTTTGCACTCACTACAATCACTATACATACTTTGCACTCGCTGCAAAAACACTACATTCACTATACACATATTGCATTCACCGCAATCACACTACATGCACTATACACACTTTGCACTCACTACAAACACACTACATCCACTACAAAAATACACACTGCATTCACTGTACACACACTACATCCACTACAAAAACACACACTCTCCATTCACTGTACACACACTACATCCACTACAAAAACACACACTCTGCATTCACTATACACACCTACATTCACTACACACACTCTGCATCTAATGCATGCATACAAACATTACACAAAACGTACAATCTGCATCCACTATACACACTGCATCCATGACACACATACCACATCCACTATACACACTGCATCCATGACACTCATTCTACATCCACTATACACACACACACACACACACACATTTCATCCTTGTGGGCGGACTCAGGGCTGGCCCAGGGGCCCAGATCTTGAGCTGTGTCAGGGGCTCTAAAATTTCTGATGGCGGCCCTGCCTCCTCATACAAATAACACACAGATAAAGTGCACAAATACATACATACACAATATATGCATCAGCCCACAACATTTTCCCGATGACAGAAAAGAAACGGAGACTAGTAGAGAAATAGCAGGAAAGAGACAGAAGATGAAGGAGAGAAAGACCTGCAGCATGACTGTATGCTGAACATAAAGACACTTGGAGAAAGAAGGAAGAGAGATTGACAGAGAGTAAGAAACCAGAAAAGCAAAACAAGTTGGCATCCTAGGTAAAAATACTTACATTGACCCTGGATAGGGGTACTTGGTATTTTACTTATTTTTTTCAGAAATACACAAGTATTCTGTTCTTATGGATGTGCTGGCACGGAAACTGGCAGGTATAATCACAATTATTATGAATTATTTTATTCAGGGAGACTTCCTATTCTGTTACTTTTCAGATGATATCTGAAATGTTTGTCATAACTACCAGCAGTCAAGAGATTACCAATTACCCAGATTAGCAAATGTCTCATCTAGCATTGCATACCATCCTGATTCAGCAGGATCATCCTGACTTTGGGCTATTGCCATCCCTAGTTGGTTCCATAGCGTCCTATATCTGGGGACATTTGATGGCCCCATGCAAAGCCACTGGCTGACATTGGTAACTTGTGTTTTTCATGTGATGTTCTGCTTTCTTTTAAATGTATATTAGAGATTTAGTGATTGGTATCACAGTCTAGTGCAGGGATAGGCAACCTATCGCACGTGTGCCATGCATGGCACTTTCAATGCCTTTGAACAGCACTCAAGGCTGCTAGAGCCAAACAGGCTCTGGGCTATCAGGTGTCTCTGAAGGTGGAACTTCAGATATCTACTAGTGCAAAAAGAAGAAGTGGTCTCAGATCAATTCCTCCCCGCACTTGTGAACAGGAAACCGCACTGGAGTAGAGCAGCCTACAGCAGATATCCCTGCCACTGACCTTGACCTGTAACTGGCCAGCCTGATCCCCACTGGACTTCAGGGAAGCCACCCACACTGCTAGAGCTGCAGAATAAACCTCACTGTCATAGAAAAAATACAAATAGCCTGTGGTGGACGGCCTGGCACCCTGACTGGGTACCTCAACCAATTGTGCTTCCTAGCTGTCGTCGAGTACCCAAAGATCTCCACTGGACACCATAACCACCGTAACCCCTTAGCCGCCGTTGGGGTCTCACTGTCCCTTCTCACAGTGGACCAAACTCCTGGATCCAGCTCCCAGTGAGAAGACCTCTCCTCCAAGAGATTATAGCCATGTAGCTCTTACAAGAGCTAGTGATATAGCCTGTATAGCCTTCTCCCACAGACATGAGACGAGGCTCTATGCTGGGGATGAACTGGAACTGGTTTAATGGGAGCCACATGTGGCCTTTTATGCAACTCCCCATGCAAGGGTTTCCTTAATCACATTCCAGGGGCATTCCCCACTGGACCTGAGAAAGAGTAGTTACAAGCATACATTCCACACACGCTTCCTCTGTGCCTGAGAGATAATTACCTGAGCACAAAAACATATAATTAAATTATCTCTCAGGTACAAAAACCTACAATTTAACAAACCCCAAAAGCACCCTCAAAACACATGAAAACCCTACAAAAGTCACATCCCCTGAGAGCCCCAATCTGGGTGACCAACATATCCAAAAATCACTCAGATCAGTTCAGGGGTTCAGGATTTTCATTGAAATTAATTATTTGACTGACAGTGCACATGGTCCTATGCCCAAAACTGTTCCAAGGACTCAGGGCTAACGGTAGGTCTTTTTTCGGGAGCACACAAGTACATAAAACACCGAACGGAATACTTAAATTACTTGTGTAGCCTCTTCCCCTTGTTCGTGGGAAAGTTTCCACTGAACAGTGCTTTTCTAAGTGGGGTAGAAACGAATGCAGGTGATGATGGAAATCCAGCGCTCTTCGGGAGTTTCTGTGTCCAATTTTAGTTCCATCAGATTCATGCCCAAACACCGCTGTCTGCGTTCGCGAGAACAAGATGGCCACCATCTCGTGGTTGTTCATATGAAATGCGTCCACCCAGACGAACACTTAGAACATTGCGGTGGAAATTGCTACAAAGTTTCATTTGGGCTTAACAAGCTCCCGGGTGGTCTTTAGTTTGTGCGGCTGTTCGGTTCCCGAACCATATAATCCCAGAGCCTTTTTAAAATATATTAGCCAAGGTCTATTGCAGGGCCATAGTCCTGAGGCAGGATGCTGGCAAGCAGGCTCCTCCAGGAGCCCGTGGCGAGGTTCTGTTTGCCACACAGCCCACCTACAAACACACACAGTACCCAAAAACACAACACCACTGACAATCCACACACACACAACCCCACAAGCAGCCTCTCACATGCAATACCACAAGCAGCCCCACACATGTACACACCACCAAACACACAATGTGACATATCAACCACACACACAATTCAACATTAAGCCCCCATACACAGCCCGCATTCAAAGGTTTCATACACAATACAACAAACTTCTCAATAACTTATATATAACAGCCCACATACGCACAAATACAACGCTACAGAGCAACTACAGCACCCATAATTAACTCAAGCTAAATATTTTAACACACACACCTAAATTTAAAAAATAGGACTAGCACACCAAGGGACTTCAAGACCTTATTATGGCAAAGAACTACTAGAAGATTGCCTACCCCTGGTTTAGTTCAATCCAGACACAGCCAGGGCACACTTTACATTGGAGGAGGTGAAACAAGAACAATGAGGGAGATTTATAAGAGTATTCTGTTCTAAAGAGTAGTGTACAAATCGAAAAAGGAAGGAATCACCAGCTAAATGAGCCTGCTGGTTCTACTGGTTAAATGAAGACTGCCCCATTTTTTTTAGTACTTTAGACCACATTTTAGATTAGAACTTGCCCCCTTCAACCACACACACACAATAAATAAATAAATAAATAAATGAAAGCTGACCTGCAATCCTACACGGAGGCCACTCAGATGGTCTTAGTGCATTGAGAAACCCTGTAAGATGCAATAAGTGTGCTAATCTTGTTTTTAATTATATATATAAAATCTGTATATCACAAAAGTGAGTACATCCCTAACATTTTTGTAAATATTTTATTATATCTTTTCATGTGACATCACTGAAGAAATGACACTCTGCTACAATGTAAAGTAGTAAGTATACAACTTGTATAACAGTGTACATTTTCTGTCCCCTCAAAATAACAAAACATACAGCCATTAATGACAAAAAAAGAGTACACCCCTAAGTGGAAATGTCCAAATAGGGCCCAAAGTGTAAATATATTGTGTGTGGCCACCATTATTTTCCAGCACTGCATTAACCCCCATGAGCTTATAAGAGGTTACCTCTGGAGTCCTCTTCCACTCCTCTATGACAACATCACGGAGCTGGTGGCTAATTGGTCCCAATTTGGACATTTCCACTTAGGGGTGTACTCACTTTTGTTGTAAACGGTTTAGACATTAATGGCTGTGTGTTGTTATTTTGAGGGGACAGCAAATTTACACTGTTATACAGGCTGTACACTTACTACTTTAGATTGTAGCAGAGTGTCATTTCTTCAGTGTTGAGTGTCATTTCAGTATTGTTACATGAAAAGATATAATAAAATATTTACAAAAATGTGAGGGGGTGTACTCACTTTTGTGATACTGTATATATTCAGTTTGTAGTCGTTGTAGGGACCATTTTCAAAGCGTTTGACTTTAAATGGGGCTCTGCTGATGCCAACTACATCTCTGTTTTCAATCTAGAAATACTCATATTGACTGCATTGTGTAAAATTATGCTACATGCCAAAAATAGCACAATTGCATCCGTTGTGCCAGACAGTTTGTGTACCACGAATTACACTCCTGTGTCAATTTTGCCACACTGAAAACACTGAGAACATTCTGAAAACACCTTTGTTTTGTCACTGTCATCATTCTGAAACTAGTCACTCCTAAAATGATGAGGGTTGGTTCCTTTTATAGTTTTTTGTGTCCTTGTCGCGGCATCAGTTTTTGAGTCAGGTTTGCATGCGCAGATGATGCAGGATTATGACATCAGGGCCTGATCACATTTAAGCTTGTATCTCCTTGGGATTGGTGCCTGTTTTGTTGATCTAGTCATGTAAGTGCATTATATTCTTAGCTATATTGTTTTTTTCTGACCCTAATTTTTGCCATCTGGTATACCTAATCCTGTTAGCCTTGACTATGATTTTTTTTTTTCTGGTTTCCTGACCTATATTGTTTTTTACTTTATTTGTATTTTGTAATATAATGTGTCACTTTACTAGTCATGATATTTCCTATATCTATTCTAAGTGTTAAGTCACACCATTTTAAGGTCTAGTAATAAGCCTTTGTAAGGTGTTGACTTATACTTGCTGAGGATCCTTACCCGTTCCTGACACATTGGAATTTTGTTTAAATTCCTACACAAGCAAAGACATAAGATAAAGTAAGGACTAGTTATGGTCATAGTCTAAACTGATAACATTTGACAAAAGCTGCGGGTTCCGCTAACAGGTTTTATCAGTTCCCACAATGGTTGCAAATGCCAGCTGGGGAAGGCATATTCCTATGATGCGGCGCATGCATGTTAGGAATGACACTATAAATAGTTTGCTAGGGCTCAGGTCTATGCCATGTTGTGCTTCTGTTTTGATTCCCAATAACATGTGCCATATGTCATGCTCGCTCACCTCATGGACGACTTTCCTGCTCCCAGACTCCACTCCAGCAGTTCCCACGCCGGCAACTGGGACTCCGCCCCCTTTTATGACGCGGCACGTGCACGCCAACGTCATGACGTGGTGCACATGCCGACTTCATACCGCCGATGATGTCACGGCCCACCAAAATGTCTGAATTCTAACATTTTGCCGGTGTGGCTTTCAATTTAAACAGCCAACCTACAAAAGGCTGGTTCAAACATAGGACTTTGCCTTGTTGTGGTTCTTGTTTGGTTCCCAATAGCGCTTCTTTCTAGATTGTTCCTTTTTGGTATCTTGACCTCTGCTTTCTGACTACTCTCCATTCTCCTGTTCTTGACTCGGCTCTCATACCTCGACTACTCTGTTTTCTGGTTCCCTGACTCGGCTAGTATACTTGCATTCCTGTTTTCTATATTCCTTGAACCCGGCTTGGTTGTGATCATTCTTATTCTATAAAAAACGGTAAGCCTGGCCACTCTAAGGTCCGGTATACATTTTTCATTTACACCCTGAATGTTGGGTCTCTTAGGAGTCCTGACACTATACCTCTCAATGTATATCTGTTTTTTTATCTTGGCTGTTATTGACTATTCTTCTCTCTATGCTAATTGACTCAGCTATTGTACCTCACTATTGCTGATTACTGGTTTTCCTGACTCTGACTTGTCCCAACCATTCTCTGTCTTCTGTACGTTAAGCCCGGCTATTAAAATCAGATTGTCTCACAGAGACCATCTCATAAGTGCAGTGTGGCATTTTGCAGTGAATACGCACTAGCCTCCCAGTGTTTTCCTATGGGAAATCATTGGATTAGCTAAGATCATCAATCTCACTGATATCAGCCAAGGAGGTGGGACCAGCCACCAACAGAGTGGTGTGGCAAACAAGGCAATTTTCTAGGAGTAAACTTTTAACCCTTGTGGAGGAGTCACCTATATGGTGACCAGGGCACAGTGGCACTACAGAGTTATGAATACACATTTGTATTCCTAAAGCTATAGTTTTCCTTTAAGGAGGCACAACCATTTTAATGAGAGTGTTGTTGAATATTTATTTCACGACCATTTTAATGAGAGTGTTTTTGAATATTTATTTTCTTTCAGTATATAACCTACATTAAACTTCTGATAGTTTTAAACACCAGTTAATTATGCAAATGTTACATCTAAAAAGTGGGTTATCAAGCTAAATTGCAGAGAGACAGATTTGCTCTGGAGCATTCCCCGGTAAGGTCGGAATGTTGGACCGGGATGGGAACAGTGCCACTGAGCAACGGTTTGCGGACGCCTCTTCAGGGCTTATAAGCGTTGTTCATATGGTAGCTCCCATCTCTAGGTAATCTGCCTCCTAGGAAGACCAGATGGACATCGCCGCAGACCAAGGTGTTTCTTCGAGGGCCCATCTGACCCCTCCAGCGAGACATAATCAGGAGTGGCTATGGCGGCTTCAACGATTTGTGTATTCCACGAGATGGGGGGTGCCGCAGGTCCTGCACGTTGCCTTAACCACTCTCAGATGGCCTCATAGATGCTGTAAAATGCCAAAAGACCCCACTGGGACCCCAGAGAGTTGTGCTCCGTCGCCATTCTGGGTGACAACAATGAGCCTCATCAGAATTATGGTGTGCACAGGTCAGACCCAGAGTTAGTTCTGTAGCTTAGAGTGCCAGGATATCCCTCACTGGCATGCGCCAAGGCGTTCTGTGGTAGATTGTGTGTAGAGGAATGGGCCGCCTCCCTCACTCCCGTGTCGCCAGGTATGCCGCAATTAGGCCGCAGACTTGCCATATTAAAATGCTCACCACAGGAAATGGTGCCAAAAGCACAGATTAGAAGCCCCAAGATTGCAGTTAATTATCAGGGTCATCAGAGTCAGATTTTGGATCAAAAAGCCAGCTAAGGAGACCAGATTGTGAGAAATCTCCAGGAGCTTGCGCAATGTGCGACCACTCGCCATGCCAGTCAAGCCCCGCTCCCATTTCTGCCTGTTCCACTGTAAATTTGGTGATCCTCTGAAAAGGCAATTTCTGATAAACATATATTTACTATAAAGAAAACTGTCACTTTTTTTTTTAGATCACTTCATTAAATATGATCAAAATAATTACGGAATTAAACTTTCACTTTTCAGAACACTGATAAATATACTCCAATATGTCATAACAGTTTAAGAACCACCAACCTAGTCGGACTCCACTTACGTTCTTATGCACAGGGTAAATCTGTTGAGAAAATAATGCACATTTTAATAGACACTCAGTTATTCAATAAAACAAACTGCAACTTTTCACAAATTCACTAGGGAATATAATAAGATTGGGCTTCAAAGTGAAACTAAAATATGAAATATATATATTATAAATAATGGATATGTATAGATAGATAAATATATATATATAAATATCAGTCAGCTATATTTCCAGTATGGATATTTATGATTTTTATTTACATTTTGAATTTTTGTGAAAAACTCTGTGACAGTGTTTTTTTCCACACACTATTCCTCTAAATAGGCTTTATGACCCTTTAGGAGTAAGAAAGATAACATGTACAATTATTTAAAAAAAATGTAAAAGTGACATTATCTGGTCATGTAACAAGGCAGTGTAACAGTCAGTGTATGTGTCCCCATGCTGTGTGTGCAGTGTGTGCGTGCTGGGAGCAGGCAGCGCCGCGGACAGCCCTAGCTCAGCTATATTGCGGGGTCCTTGCCGCCTGGCCGCTTTGGCTGCAGAGAGGAGAGAGCAGCAATGGCGGATTACGACACATACGACGATCGGGCCTACAGCAGCTTCGGGGGCGGCAGAGGGTGAGAGTGACCGGGGTGCACCGACATGGAGATACCGGGGCTCCGAGCGGGGGAGGGCAAAGCTAGCATGTAGCCTTCACATGTATTATGCACACACACCCCATATCTCACACACACACACAGTGACTGCGTGCTGGGCACACGGTGCGAGCTCCACACACGGTGTGTATTGTGTGCAGCCCCGGCCCCGCATTGTTGCTGTGATCCCATTATTATGATGGGTGGTGGGCGATCCCCCAGCAGATTACCAATCCCTGATCGATATGTTTAGAGCATGTGTCCCCCTACATGGGAGCCCATATGAGCAGTGTTTGTGTTGGATCGTGGCTAGACTGGATTTGCCATTATGAATGGTGAGTCGACTTGGCTACCACGTGAGATAAGAGCCGGGTAACACCGAGTGGCTAGTAGGAAGCCCCTATAGCTAGGCCAGATGGCCAGGCAGGGGGTGATGGCTGCTGGGGGGGGCCCCTGATGGCCAGGCAGGGGATGGTGGCTGCTGGGGGGGGCCCCTGATGGCCAGGCAGGGGATGGTGGCTGCTGGGGGGCCCCTGATGGCCAGGCAGGGGGGCCCCTGATGGCCAGGCAGGGGATGGTGGCTGCTGGGGGGCCCCTGATGGCCAGGCAGGGGATGGTGGCTGCTGGGGGGGGGGGGGCCCTGATGGCCAGGCAGGGGATGGTGGCTGCTGGGGGGGCCCTCATGGCCATGTATGATGGGTGGTGTATAAGTTACCCTGGCAGTGGATATTTGTGATGTTCTCTATCAGGGTGGTAAAATGGAGAGACCATTCTCCTTTCTCTTTTTTAAGATGATGGGCAGCACACACCGAGTCTCCTGCTTTGCCCTCTGTGGAGCACTTCTTTCACAAGTTTACACCAAATGCACTTCATATTGTACAGCACTATATAAATAATAAAATAAGAATAATATTAAACAGCATGTCTTATTGAATGGCTGACTGTAACTTCCTGCCTGTAGGGGGATTTATTGCACTGCACATGTACTTTAGTCTTCCAGGGAATACTGATTCAGGTCACACCTGGTGGTAGTAGTATTTATTTACTTATTTGAATTGTGAATTCTTGATGTTATCGGACTATAAGAATGAACAATGGATTGGGAAATGCACACACTAATAGCCATTAATTTACCATGTGCTTCAAGCTTAAATTGACGTTGCCACTTTTGAATCTTTACGTGGGTTAGAAATCTGAAAAGTAATACCCATGATTGCTCATATTTTGTATAACATTGTGGAATAATTGTTCTTCATAGTTGTATGTGAGGTAGACTTTTTCTAAGGTTTACCTATAGATGGGAAGGCAACACAAAAGTAAATTTCAGATTCTTTATAAAAAGGAAAAAAGCTCTTGTATATTACTAAAGAATTTCATTGAAATTTCAGATAAATTGAAATATCAAACACAGGGACCCTTTTTCATTATATAGGTGTCTATTTTTGGTAAAACATGTCTGGAACTAAAGTTCACTTGTACTTGCCACTATCTTACAATATTTCATCTAATTGTGATATTGAATGGAAGAAGTTTGTTTCAAAGTAATTTACAATACATACCTTTGGCATGTGCACATTTATGGCATACACAATATGTCATTGCTCCTATGCTAGGAGCTCATGGTAAGTACGTGAAAGAACAGGGGTGGAATGATTTAGCTAAGTATCTCTAGTCATACTATGCTTTAACACAAAGACCTCAAAAGTGACAAAACTTTTATAGATGTTTGAAACTTGGAATATATCACGCAAACCAGCAGTTGTATAAATGGTGATTTTCAGAGAAACAAAAATGAAAGTAAAGTAAATCTCCATGACCTGTGCTTGTTTACTTAGCAAAGCTATTGACCGTTATTAGCGCTTATATAGTATCCATAGTCATACAGTTTAGCTGTTTAACACATCTAGATTAACAATTTCCTTAATTAGTTAGAGCTACAATAGTCTGAGCCTGCTTCTGGTGCTCAGCACTATTGAAGTGTGATTTCTGATTTGAATATGATTATGAGATGTTTGTAATTCTACTGTAGTTTTTTCCATTTGTCCTTTATTAGAATGGGAAATTTGAGTGTGCACCATCATTGTTTTTGGTTTGTTTTATCGTAAGGATAACCTCCAGTTTTATTCATAGTACGTTAAAGGATCACTATAGGATCAGGAACACAAACATTTATTCCTGACCCTATAGTGTTAAAACCACCATCTAGCCCCTCTCGGCCCCTCATGCCTGCATAATTTTAGTAAAAATCTTACTGTATTCAAGCTTGAAGCTATAGATCTGCATGCTGTTAGATTCAGAAAAAAAACAAGCAGTCTGCTGACATCATCAGAAGTGGTAGCCTGATCCAATCACAATGCTTCCCCATAGGATTGGCTAAGACTGACAACGAGGCAGATCATGGGCAGAGCCAGCATGATTCAAACACAGCCCTGGCCAATCAGCATCTCCTCATAGAGATGAATTGAATCAATGAATCTCTATGAGAAAAGTTCAGTGTCTGCATGCAGAGGGAGGAGACACTGAATGTTTGGATGCATTTTAGGCAGCCATGATCCAGGAAGGATCTCTAACAGCTATCTGAGGAGTTGCCAGGAAAGTTATCACTAGGCTGTAATGTAAACACTGCATTTTCTCTGAAAAGACCATGTTTACAGCAAAAAGCCTGAAGGTAATGATTCTACTCACCAGAACAAATTCAATAAGCTGTAGTTGTTCTGGTGACTAGTGTCATTTAATCATTTTTTACTAATGTAATAATTTGGTAATACATTGCAATGCAAAAAATATAAATATAGAATAAAAGGGATACTCCAGGCAGCCAGACCACTTCTGCCCGTTGGAGTGGTTGAATATAGTTAAAATAAAAATGCCATTATGTTAACACCTTCGTGACCAGACCGATTTTCAATTTTCTTACCGTTGAGGACCAGGTCTGGTTTTAAATTTCTGCAGTGTTTGTATTTTGCTGTAATTTTTCCTTTTACTCATTTACTGTACCCACACATATTATATACTGTTTTTCTCGCCATTAAATGGCCTTTCTAAAGATACCATTATTTTCATAATATCCTATAATTCACTATAACAAATTATAAAATATGATGAAAAATTTTAAAAATAAACAAAAACCCACACCTTTTCTTACTTTGACCCCCAAAATCCGTTATGCATCTACAACCACCAAAAAACACCATGCTAAATAGTTTCTAAATTTTGTCCTGAGTTTAGAAATACCAAATGTTAACATGTTCTTAGATTTTTTTGGAAAGTTATAGGGCTATAAGTACAAGTAGAATATTGCTGTTTCTAAATATATATATTAAAAAGTATCTATAGTGACATTGTAACACTGTTATCTGTCATAAATCTCTGAATCACACCTCACATGTACATATTTTTCTAAAGTAGACAACCCAGGCTATTCAATGAGTCCAGTTTTTTTTTTTTTTTTAGTAGCTACTTAAAGGGACTCTCCAGTGCCAGGAAAACAATCAGTTTTCCTGGTACTGCAGGTCTCCTCTACCCCCAATCCCCGGTTGCTGAAGGGGTGAAAACCTTCAGTCACTTACCAGAGACAGCGACATGTCCCACATCACTGCTTCTTCCTCCGCCGCCGCTCCTTCCATTCATCACGTCAGCCGGCAGGGGAGACCCATCACGCCCGCTTTTCAGTGTTTCCTATGGGGATTTTAGCGACACTGGAGGTCCTCACATAATGCTGTGCTATGATCCCGGAAGTGCCCTCTAGTGGCTGTCTAGTAGACAGCCACTAGAGGAGTTAACACTGCAATAATTACACTTGCAGGGTTAAGAGTAGTGGGAGTTGGCATTCAGACCACTCCAATGAGCAGAAGTGGTCTGGGTGCCTGGAGTGTCACTTTAAGTTACAAACACTGGCCAAAGTTAGCATTTATTTTTGTTTGTGTGTAAAAAATGCAAAAAACAATTACAAACGCAAACTTTGGCCAGTGTTTGTGACTAAGGGGTTACTAACTAAGACTGAACATACCCCTTTTGCAATACCTTGGGTTGTTTTCTTTTGCAAATGGTATGCCATCATGGGGTTCTCATTCCTGTGCTACCATACGCTCTCAAAGGCAACATAACCAATCTGGCAAATTTCAATGCGAAAAAATGGTATATCAAGTCTTATATTTGACCCTGTAACTTTCAAAAACACTATAAAATCTGTGTATGGGTGGTACTGTTATACTCAGGAGAACACAAATATTAGTGTTTCAAAACAGTAAAACGTATCACAACAATGATATCATCAGTGAAAGTGCAGTTTGTGTGTGAAAAATGAAAAAAAAACTTCACTTTCACTGACAATATTGTCGCTGTGATATGGTTTACTGTTTTGAAACACTAATTTGTGTTCGGTGAAGTCTTCCGAGTAAAATAGTACCCCCCATGTACAGGTTTTAGGGTGTCTTGGAAAGATACATGGTTAAATATAGTGCTAGCAAATTAAACTTTTGGCCTGGGTTGTCAGGCAGGTCCTGCAAATTACTATCAATAAATTACTTAATTATGTAAAAATATTACCTAAATATGCACGTAGAATTTAAATATTTACACATATTTATATTTGAAGTCTACGTGTATATTTATCAAATTATTCATGTATTCATGCGATCACATGGCCCGGGGGAAGAGAGGGGCCTAGATTTGCCGAAGGGGGACTGTCTGGGCTGTCAGAAAGTCCTCCCAGAACGAGAGGAACATGAAACGACGGCGATCAAGTAAGTAATTAGGAATTGCCGCGGACACAGTTGAGAACCTGTGTTCTAGAGTTTCGAACAGAAACGTATTACTAGGTCGTTGTCTTTGATAAATATTTCTATTCCTTATCTTAATCATTTTAAATTGTTCATTTGCTATTTGCCTTTAATTGCAACTGTTTATCTCCTAATTTTGCCAGTTAAGTTTTCACTCAATGCTGTTAAAGCATTTGCTAGGATGAGAGGTCTAGTGGAAGGATGCATGCATGTGTTTAATTAAATAGTAAGATATAAACTCACATCTGATCCAGTGCTGCCTTGTCATCTTTGTAAGTTTTACACTGTTGTAACATTCAACTCCAGCCCGTCCACGCTCTACCAGCTGTTTTCTTTGATTTGCGGGCAAGCCTCTGTGATATGGACACACTGGCTTCATTCCTGCATGTGCAGTGGTTTCTGTCTGAAGAGCAGAAGCACTGTCTAAATGAGATCCTTCTTGCTTTCTCTGTTTGACATTGGTGTGACCATGAAATGACAATTGCTAACAATTCTTCTAGATTAGAATGGTATAGATTAAATGCTATGCTCTATAAAATGAGCAAAGGTAGTATGTGCCATGACAGGTACAGTTTAAGCACTGTGACTATTACAGATTATTGTAGGCCTCAGGCGCACATAATTGCGCTCTTCCCATTCGTGTCAAACCATTTTCAATTTTTTTCCAAAAAACCCCCACATGACTCTCCCAACACTTGATGCTGCTTCCCATTAATGTGGATCAGCTAATATATAAGTGAACAACAATATTGAATAGCTCTGCTATTGCAGCTTAATATTGCTGTCCAATTCTAGACCTTGAATGTGGATGTTTATGTTCACATTAACAAAGATGCAGCAGAGGGGCTGTAATTTGTGGTGCCAGGATAGCTGTTCAACACTGGTGTGGAAGGTCATGTATTATAGACCAATGTCTGACCAGTATTAATAGAACGCAGAAAAGGGAATATACATAAAGGACCACTAAAGGCACCCAGATGGCCTGGGTGCAGTGACTCTTTAGTTTAACCATACAATGAAAAGCACTTCGGTTTTGTAGAAACATTTGTAGTGGAGCTCTGATACCCCGACTAGGTATCTCCGCTACTCCTTCCTCGAAGCTGAAAGCTCTGTAATAATTCAAGACTCCTAGCATGGGGTTTCCATATCAAAGTTACACTGATTTTACTCCCAGGAGTCTCTGTTTCTGAGAGATAATTGAGTGAGAAAACTCAATCTCTCAGTTACAGGAAAACACACAATATTTTTAAAACACCCCAAAAAAACAAATCATATTACCGAATAGCTTGTGTCTGAGCGCACTTTGTCGAAATAGTGTTCAGATCCCTTCGGTGGTTCAGGAACACCATTTGTATAACGTTTTGACCGGTCAGCCATGAGTTCCACAGAAAACAAGGCAATGACTGGTCATCTTTTGGGGTTCTCACACGAACACCGATAAATGTTCGCCCTGGCTGTTAGGAAGCGAATGCTCCCCCTGTTCGGTAGTTCATGCTTCCCAAATGCCGTTCTTCTAACTGTTTGGGAAGATGGATGGACAGCGGTAGAAGTTCCCCGGGTGTTCACGGGGTCGCGTATATAAGATACAGTTCCATGCCTTCGACGACCATGTATCGCTACCTACGTTCGGGAGACAAAATGGCCACCAATTCTTATTAGGTTATACGAATGGTGGCCACACAGGGAAAGCACTTGAATTAATTGTTCATTTGTGGTTACCAGCCAGAGATGGTCGGTAATTAGGAGGTGTTAACTTAATTAAGTGGCACGAGTGCAGTGGTCCTGTCCTTTTAGTCCTGCAATGTTAAACATTACAGTTTTGTGTAAACTATTGCATATTCAACACACCTTAGTGGCTGTCTTCTAGGGTCACTTCTGGCATGTATTAGAGTGCAGCTTCTGTGTCTATCTTGTGAGCGTAGGAGGCTGTCAGATTGGGCAGTAGACTTCTTGCCTTCTAGCCTGTAGCTTCCTTCTGTATCACATGACCAGTATTGGAGGCAAACACACTGGGGAGGGTTCTAATGCTAGTCCATGTGTACATTGTGTGGGAGCTGATAATGATGTAGATCTAATATTGACAAAGTTTTGGAGCTCCTTGTGGATTCGCTTGGTTTAAACCTGCATTCCATAGGTAGTGTGGAGCATAAACACCAGCATGTTTTTCCTGACCATGTTTTACAGGATCTGAGAAAATGAAATGGTGAGTGCTAGAAAGAAAAATATGTGGACAGTTGATGTAATTGCCCATTTGCAAGCATTGATTGCTAAATGTCATTCCTGACCAAGAGTGAAAAATGCTTTTGCGCTGTAAAAATCTTTAGGGAATAATCCACCCAGCCAAGATGCATGCTGGCTTGAAAATAATGTTCCAGCCTTTTCTGCCTAGTGGAAAACGTCACTGTCTGGAGCAGATGTAGGTCACTGCTCAACCTGAGAGCTCTAGTCTTAAATCTGTGCTGCCAGTGGTTTCTGGATGCTGTCACAGCTACTTAGACTTACACAGTAAGGAAATTTGTTAAAGCATCAGGCCCTCAGAGAAAGGTGAGTGTTCCCAACTACTCAGGGATAAGTAGTGTCTCAAATTGTATTAGTCTTACATTCAAAAACGGTTATAGTGTGCAAATATCAGACTTTAATTTAAAAATATTGAATATATCTCTTCTTCTTTTTAAAGAGTAAGTGGTTTCCCTTTGCTAGCGGTCTAATTTTTAACATAGTCTATTAGTGTGAAGACCAAATGTGTAAAATCAGGATTCTTAAACGGACACTCAAGGGTGCAATTGATATCCCCTTATTTTATTTTTTCAATTTCATCTTTATTAAATTTAAAAAAAAAAAGTCATACATATCAAATGTGAGCATATAAAATGTTCGGATATATATTTAAACAAACAGGTGATAAGCAAATATCAGTAGATGATAAAAATTATGGTTTTATAAAACCTAAACAGTGAACGGATATATCCGAAAAAACATGACAAAAATAAAATTTAAACAGATCTTGGACATATCCAGGACAAAAATAAATAAGTAAAGAGATAGGTAGTAATAGTTTAGTGTTATAGTGTGTGGGCTTTGTAGATGGCGAACGTGGGATCGAATTTCATTTAAATCAATTCACAGGGCTATAATTCATTAGGTCTATAATATTGAATCCATGGGTCCCACATTTTATCATATGTATGTAATGTCTTTGCTTCTCTGTCAAATAAAAGTTTCTCTGCCTCTCTGTTTATATTCCATGATGGGATATTTGAGTTTTTATTCCATTGGAATAATGTATTGTATTTAGTCCTGAATACCTCCTTTTTTTTTTTTTTTTTTTAAATCAGTCACTTCCTGGTCTCTGAGTAGTATTGTACTATTAGCTGTCCCCTGGAATGTATGCAATTACCGTGAAAGGTGTCCCGGTTCATCTTAGTCTTAGTCTTTTATTGCCAGCTGTTTTGTGCCTTGTATTTTCTCCTACTTAGCCATTCTATCCCACTCCAACCCTCCATAAATCTAATTTTCTGTTGTGGTTCTTTATCACTTCTTTTTTGCTACATGGATCTCATCAAACATGTATTTCTGACCCTATAGTGTTAAAACTTCCATCTAGCCCCCTGACCTGTCCATTGGCTCCCTAAATATAGTAAAATCTTACTTGTTTTCAAGTCTGAAGCTGCTGCCCCTGAACTTCCTCTGTCTCCTGACATCATCAGAAGTGGTGGTCTGAGCCACTCACAATGTTTCCCCATAGGATTGGCTGAGATTGTTAAGGAGGCAGATAAGGGACAGAGCCAGCACAAGTCAAACACAGCCCTGGCCAATCTGCATCTCGTCGTAGAGATTCCTGTCAGTCTGGCCGGGTACAGGAGACTGAATCTCCTGTACTGCAGTGCACACTGCTCTGCTCTGCCATTCTACAAGGAGAGACACAAGGGAGGTGGGGACCAAGGAGGGAGAGAGCGAGAGAGAGAGAGAGAGAGAGGGGGGCACTAAAGGACTGGGGGATGGCGGGTGGTAAGGAATACTGGGGTGGGGGTGGTAAGGAATACGGGGGGGAGAGGAACATTAAGGGAGGACACTAAGGTACAGGGGAGGGAAGGGAAAAGGAACACTGGGGTGGGGGGGTTGGCACCACTAAAAGAGAATGGAGAGGAATATGTGGGGGGTGGGAGGGAAGAGTTCCTAACGCACATATTTACACACAAACACCTTGCATCCACTACACAAACACACACACTGTATCCACCTCACAAACACACACACTGAATTCACCACCCACACTGCATCCACTACACAAACACACATACACACACTGCATCTACTAATCAAATATTCTCATCGCATCCACTACACCCGCATATAAATATTCTTGAAAACATTACAAAAAAAATCTGACTGGCATGTGTATTTTGTGCATTTACAACTTAATAAAAAAAAAATTGTTAAAAAATAAATAAAATAAATCTACAGAATATTGGTACGCTATTGGCCATCGGCCTGAAAGTTCACAGATTATCGGTACCTGCTCTAAAAAATCAATATCGGTCGATCCCTAACCTGACACAAATGTCACTGCATTTTCACAATGTTATTTAAAAAAAAAAAAAAAAACCCCCACTAGTTCATCTAGTTGCTTTGACCTGCTAGATCACCTTAGTGTGGATATGAATTTGAGGTTGCAAATGGAAATCTATCAAGCTGGTTCTGCTCTTTAGAATGCTTGTATAAGTTGGGGGGAAAAAATTTGAGAATTAAATTTTTTTTTTTTTTTTCTTCATCCTTAGGTCGCGAAGGGATGCGGGCCCAGGTCCTCGGAAACAGAAAGAGCTGCCTACAGACCCACCATTCACTGCATATGTGGGGAATCTTCCATTCAATACCGTTCAAGGAGACATAGATGTCATCTTTAAAGAATTGAATGTGAGGAGTGTGCGGCTAGTGCGAGATAAGGAGACAGATAAATTTAAAGGTAAGAATATTTGTTGATCATAATGCTCAAAACATAGTTCTGTCTTGATTATTAAAGGCAGTTAATGTTCCTTTTAAATATCTGTAGCCTGGCAAATAAACTATTCACTAGGTAAGAGATTATCTTTAGCACAACATATGGTTTTTGAACTATTTTTCCCACAATTGGAAATTAATTGGAAACATCTGTAATTGAATTGTCATTGAATGTGTAAGTGACACGGTGTATGTCATTGAGTGTTAGTGAAAGTGTGTAAGTGACACTGAGTATGTCTGTGTGTCGGTGAGTGTAAGAGACACTGTACGTTAGTGAGTGTGTAAATGCCCCTTGTGTGTGTATATCAGTGAATGTGTGTGCATGTGTGACCATGTAAAGAGATGCTTATAAAATTATAGTATTATATATTATAAATGTAAGATTAATATACATTAAACTGGGAAAAATATGTTTTACTTCACTGTAACAAAAATTAAATCCCACCATTATAATAAATTGGATACCACCAAATACATTGATATGTATTGGGCAGTATGAGTGTATGGATATATGTATTAGGCAATATGTGTCTATTGATGTAGAACACCACAGAAATTGCTGGCGCTATATAAATAATAATATGCATTAGGCATTACGTGTGTATTGATGTGTGTATTAGACAGTATGAATGTATTATTAGGCGGAATTTGAGTGGATTTATGTTTTGAGCTGTGTGCACATGGTTGATTTTATGTAATAAGCAGTATGTGTGGATGGATGGATGTATTAGGCAGTAATTGGCACACCATGGCAATCATCTTTAGAGGCACACAATTGGCACACTATAGCAATCCTCTTTAGAGACATACAATTGCCACACCATAGCGATTAATTTTAGAAACATAAAATTGGCAACGAGGGCAACCAGCTTTAAAAACTTAAACCTGGCACATCATGGCAAACAGACTTAGCTGCATAAAATTGGCACACTGTGGCAAACAGTCTTAGGTACATAAAGTTGGCACATGGCAGCTTTAGAGACATACAATTTGCATACCACGGCAATCCATTTTAGATGCATAAAATTGGCATATCATGGGAGTTTGAGGCATCATTTGGCACATCCATGGAAGTTTCAGAGGCATCATTTGGCACATCCATGGGAGTTTCAGAGGCATCATTTGGCACATCCATGGGAGTTTCAGAGGCATCATTTGGCACATCCATGGGAGTTTCAGAGGCATCATTTGGCACATCCATGGGAGTTTCAGAGGCATCATTTGGCACATCCATGGGAGTTTCAGAGGCATCATTTGGCACATCCATGGGAGTTTCAGAGGCATAATTTGGCACATCCATGGGAGTTTCAGAGGCATCATTTGGCACATCCATGGGAGTTTGAGGCATCATTTGGCACATTTGGCACATCCATGGGAGTTTCAGAGGCATCATTTGGCACATCCATGGGAGTTTCAGAGGCATCATTTGGCACATCCATGGGAGTTTCAGAGGCATCATTTGGCACATCCATGGGAGTTTTAGAGGCATCATTTGGCACATCCATGGGAGTTTTAGAGGCATCATTTGGCACATCCATGGGAGTTTTAGAGGCATCATTTGGCACATCCATGGGAGTTTCAGAGGCATCATTTGGCACATCCATGGGAGGAGGCACATCCATGGGAGAGGCATCATTTGGCACATCCATGGGAGTTTCAGAGGCATCATTTGGCACATCCATGGGAGTTTCAGAGGCATCATTTGGCACATCCATGGGAGTTTTAGAGGCATCATTTGGCACATCCATGGGAGTTTTAGAGGCATCATTTGGCACATCCATGGGAGTTTTAGAGGCATCATTTGGCACATCCATGGGAGTTTTAGAGGCATCATTTGGCACATCCATGGGAGTTTTAGAGGCATCATTTGGCACATCCATGGGAGTTTTAGAGGCATCATTTGGCACATCCATGGGAGTTTGAGAGGCATCATTTGGCACATCCATGGGAGTTTGAGAGGCATCATTTGGCACATCCATGGGAGTTTGAGAGGCATCATTTGGCACATCCATGGCAGTTTTAGAGGCATCATTTGGCACATCCATGGCAGTTTTAGAGGCATCATTTGGCACATCCATGGCAGTTTTAGAGGCATCATTTGGCACATCCATGGCAGTTTTAGAGGCATCATTTGGCACATCCATGGCAGTTTTAGAGGCATCATTTGGCACATCCATGGCAGTTTTAGAGGCATCATTTGGCACATCCATGGCAGTTTTAGAGGCATCATTTGGCACATCCATGGCAGTTTTAGAGGCATCATTTGGCACATCCATGGCAGTTTTAGAGGCATCATTTGGCACATCCATGGCACTTTTAGAGGCATCATTTGGCACATCCATGGCACTTTTAGAGGCATCATTTGGCACATCCATGGCACTTTTAGAGGAAGAAACTTGGCACATCCATGGCAGTTTTAGAGGAAGAAACTTGGCACATCCATGGCAGTTTTAGAGGAAGAAACTTTCACATGATGGCAATCTGTTTTAGAGGTATACAACTGCTTACTCCGACTACAACTCCACTGTGGAACTAATGTAGAGAGGGCCCTGGTGCAAGTATGTTTTCTGAGCCCTCCTATAGTGCAAGTGTGGCCAAAAGGTAAATCTCCATCTGTCGGAGAACTTCAGCAATGCTATGCCAGCTGGGGATCTATCATCATTGCAGGGTTATATTTGTGAGCAGTGTTTGAGCATTTGAATGTAAGCATGTTTTTGTATAAAGTATATGTTTGCGTGTATTTGTATGTACTGTTGCCATTGGAATGTAGTGGTGTAATGTTTGCGTCTGAATTCAGGGGTGTTTGTATGTAGTGTAGGACTTTAAATGCAGGTGTGGTGTTTGAATGAAGGGGTGTATATAATTTATTTTAATACAGGGGTGTGTTTGTATGTAATGTTTGTTTGATTGCAGTGTGTATATTGTATATAAAATGTCTGTTTGAATGTAAGCATGTTTTTGTATGGAGTATGTGTGTGAATGTTGGTGTTTGAATGCAGATGTGCATTTGTGTGTGATAGTGGCTGTCTACCTTTGGTCTGATATCTGACGCTGGATGTCCTCACACTCTGCATGAGGGCACCCAGCATCAGATTTTTTTTTCCCCTCCATATGAAAGCATTTATTCTGAGTGGATAGAGCCGCGACACAGCGCGTAGGATCAGGTAAGTAAATAAAGGGTTGTTAACACTTTACCTGGCTTGGTGGGGTGGGGGTGCATTCCTAGCACTTAAGGATCCCATTAAATAAGCCTGTTGTGTCTCTTTATAAAATTGTATTGACAAATAGTACAATATAACTCAACCTTCCCACTCACGGTTTTGTTTTGTATGCAAATATTGTGCTGTTTAAAATTTGTTAAAATCTTCATCTCTAACCACGTGTTTGCATGTGCATCCAGTTGAAACTACAGGGATTTGGCTACTGTGCAACAAATCATACATTGATAAAGTGTACAGTACATTAACATAATGTTTTTCTCTTTAGGGTTTTGTTATGTGGAGTTTGATGACTTGGAGTCTCTTAAAGAAGCTTTGACTTATGATGGTGCAGTAAGTTCTTCTTCACATCATTTTGAGAAAAATTATTGAACTGACAGCTTTTGCTTACTCTGCCCGGTTTTCCTCCCTCCATTAGCTTTTATTTGAACGATCACTCAGAGTCGATATTGCCGAAGGAAGAAAGCAAGATAAGGGTGGCTTTGGTTTCAGAAAAGGCGGGACTGAAGACAGAGGTTAGTATTTATTCACACATCAGAATATTCCAAGAATGTAGAATTTATATTGTTAGACTCCATTGAATGATTAATTGGAATTATATTGCGTCAGTTGATACTATAGATCTGCATACATGGTATGTGAAAATCTCACAGAACATGATATGGCAAGCTTTCCATTTGGAATTGGTTTTATATCTAAAGTATTAAGCCATTCATTTCCCTGTGTAATGGAAGGGATAAAGTATAAATGTTTCATGCATTGCATTAGAAAGGTTCTCTCACCCCAGAATAGTTTTTCTGTTAACCAGTTTTTAAGTCATGAAATCAAGCTTCTGCTTTTTTATTCTTTATTTGGTGTACTTCAAGGGATAGCTGTTGTATGACCAGATGTTTTTCTTTTTTTATTAATATACAGAGGGTTATAGTTTTTGTTCTCCTATAATTTTGAAATGATTTCTTTTGTAACATTGTTTTAGGGATACATTGTGTTGCAGGTCTCTTTGGGACTGAAGAACTTCGTTTTGCTCTCCCATTGCAACCTGAAAGGGTTTGTTTTCTTAGCATTGATTTCATGTTGGTATTGCATTGTTTTTCAGGAAGCGATAGTTTCGGCAGTAGAGGAGGAAGAGATGACTTCAACTCTGGTAAAGCATGTCTGTTTTTGCTAATGGGTCTATCAATTGTTCATCTCGGTATTGGGCTCTGCATGTGACTTCTCAACATAGTTTTTCTATTCAAAATTCAATCTAAGCCAGGCTTCCCCAATCTCTGGCCCTCCAGATGTTGCCGAACTACAACTCCCATGATCCTTTGAATGAAATAGATAGCCAGAGAATCATGGGAGTTGTAGTTCAGCAACATCTCGAGGGCCGGAGTTTGGGGAAACCTGATCTCTAAGCCTTACCAATTTTTCACATACTTCTACTTCTTAATTTGGGAAACTTTCCTTTCCACTTTTATTTATGACTATTTTAATTCATACTTTGTCCATCAAATGTCAGTGATGCATAAAACACAAATAGGGTAATAAACAATGACATGTTTTTTTATACAGCTACCATTTTTATTTATTTATTTATTTTTGCTTTTAAGGGGTGGTTTTGTGAAACCTCTTGCCATCATTCATGCAGTGGTAAATGGTGGCTGTACTTTTTGAAACCTTAAAGGACCACTATAGGCACCCAGACCACTTCAGCTTAATGAAGTGGTCTGGGTGCCTGGTCCAGCTAGGGTTAACCCTTTTCTTTATAAACATAGCAGTTTCAGAGAAACTGCTATGTTTACACTGAGGCTTAATCCAGCCTCTAGAGCCTCTAGTGGCTGTCTCATTGACAGCCGCTAGAGGTGCCTGCGTGCTTCTCACTGTGAAAATCACAGTGAGAAGACGCCAGCGTCCATAGAAAAGCATTGTAAATGCTTTCATATGAACTGGCTAAAAGCGTGCGCAGCTCCTGCCGCGCATGCGCATTCACCCGATGACATCGCTAGGAAGGAGGAGAGGAGGAGGAAAGCTCCCAGCCCGGCGCTGGAGAAAGGTAAGATTTTAACCCCTTCCTCTACCCAGAGCCCGGCGGGAGGGGGACCCTAAGGGTGGGGGCACCCTCAGGGCACTATAGTGCCAGGAAAACGAGTATGTTTTCCTGGCATTATTGTGGTCCTTTAAAACAGAGCAAATGTATCTAGAACCGAAAGACTGAGGAAGGGAATAGAAGTTCAGAGATTTATTTTAAAAATCATTTACCATATAACAGCAGAAATATTAGACTTTTTTGCTCTGTGTGGCTCCTGGGAAAAAGATGGTTTTTAAAACACTGTTGGCTCTATTATCAACTTATCTTATTGCAATTGTTATAGTGTCTTATTTCGGTTCCTCTGTGTCTTGACCTCCAGTGCTGTATATTTTAAAAATGTGAAGGCTTGGAAGAGTGGATTCAAACCCTCTAGATAAGAATCTCTACTACGACTTCACTAGGTGTCTAGGGATCTGTAATCTTGTAGCTCTGCTCTCTCACACGTCTTGCAGTGATGCCGGGAGTCAGAATATGATGTCATTCTGGCCCTGGCATCACTAGACGGCATGCAGAGCAAAATAGCTTGCAAATGATCAGAGTAGCTCCACTGGACCATAGGTAGGGAGGATGTGTGGACGTAAATTTAAAAAAACAAAACACTGTACTATATTTGTAAAATTCATTTAAAATAAAGAATTTTGGTCTTTTTCATTTTCCAGGAGCTTTGCAACTAATTCAAAATGTTCATAAAGAATGCATTTACTTACTTTTATTCTAGAGCAATTGGTCTCCTTGCAGCACTTTGCTCTGCTCATGGTGATGTTGTGAAGTCACAAGATATTGTTCCAATAAAATGCTTTTATTTAAGAACATTGCCGACCCTCGCCACTATTGTGATTCCACAATCCACCAATGAAAATCCTTTCATAGAGAATCATTGAACACAATGATTCACTATGAGAAACCATGATTGTGACACTGCGCAATAGCTTTCTATGAGAAACATTGGATTGGCTGAAATAATCAAGATTGATGATCTCAGCCTTAAAGGACCACTCTAGGCACCCAGACCACTTCAGCTTAATGAAGTGGTCTGGGTGCCAGGTCCTTCTAGGGTTAACCCATTTTTTCATAATTATAGCAGTTTCAGAGAAACTGCTATAATTATGAATGGGTTAAGCCTTCCCCCAAAGCCTCTAGTGGCTGTCTCATTGACGGCCACTAGAGGCGCTTGCGTGCTTCTCACTGTGATTTTCACAGTGAGAGCACGCCAGCGTCCATAGGAAAGCATTGTAAATGCTTTCCTATGAGACCGGCTGAATGCGCGCGCAGCTCTTGCCGCGCGTGCGCATTCAGCCGGCGGGGCGTAACGGAGGCGGAGAGGAGGAGGAGAGCTCTCCGCCCAGCGCTGGAAAAAGGTAAGTTTTTACCCCTTTCCCCTTCCAGAGCCGGGCGGGAGGGGGTCCCTGAGGGTGGGGGCACCCTCAGGGCACTATAGTGCCAGGAAAACGAGTATGTTTTCCTGGCACTATAGTGGTCCTTTAAGGCAGAGCCAGGCTAAATGAACTTCGGTGAGGAAGAAAAGGTGAGTAAAATCACCTTTTTACTGAGATTGGAGGGGGTGGTTATTTAAACAGCCACTTCAGGACTATAGTGTCAAGAATTATGTTGGTATTCCTGACGCTACAGTTTTCCTTTAGCCAATGTGCTATATTCAGAGCTCAAATTGAGCACTGCATTCAACCCTTTAAATGGAATTTAATCTCTGATTGAGCAGTTGCTCTCAGCTGTGGTGATTCTTGGGCTGCATTCTCTGAGTGAGACGCCCCGGGTCTGAACTGCAGAGATAGCATGCTGGGGCTGCAATGTTAGGGAGATCTTTTTGTCATGTTGCAAACAGCCATTAGATTGTATTCACAGACCAATCTCTACTGTTTGTGCTTTTTTGACAAGCTTTATTTGGTGTTTGTTTTCCGACAATTTTTTTTATAGTCCTAATCATCACAGTATAGTTAAGAACAGTATAGGGAAGTCTTAAATGACACCATGAAACAATGTGACTAGCAATATAACATCTCACTTGGTCTTCATGAAATACTTAACGGTTTGGATTTTTTAGAAATTTTATCTAAAAAAAAAAAAAATCAATTCTCAAATCGTGTCTGCTGCCAAATGTAATTATAGGCAAATGCAAGAATCGGCAAGCCGGTATGGAATATTGCAGACTTCAGAATCTAACAAGGAAAGTGGACCGTTGAGAAATGACGCCTTTATGTTGTAGACTAGGGATCGACGGATATTGATATTTTATTTTTATTTTTATTTTTTTGAGCTGATAACGATAATCTGTGAACTTTCAGGCTGATAGCCGATAACTTACCGATACCACTATTCTGTACATTTACCGTTTTGAAAAATAAACTATTTCTACACAAATCTACTGTTAACTGAACATGTTTATTTTTTTGCAAATCTTTTATTTATTTTTTATTTAGGTAAATGCACAAAATATACTTGCCAGTCAGATTTTTTTTTAATGTTTTTAAGAAAATATATTTTCTTAAAAACATAAAAAAAAAATCTGACTGGCAAGTATATTTTGTGCATTTACCTAAATAAAAAATAAAAGATTTGCAAAAAAATAAACATATATATATATTTTCTTAAAAACATTAAAAAAAAAAAATCTGTCTACAACATAAAGGCGTCATTTCTCAACGGTCCACTTTCCTTGTTAGAATCTGAAGTCTGCAATATTCCATACCGGCTTGCCGATTCTTGCATTTGCCTATAATTACATTTGGCAGCAGACACGATTTGTGTGTGTATGTATATGTATGTATGTATATGTATGTATATATATGTATATATGTATGTATGTATATATATATGTATATGTATGTATATATATATGTATGTATGTGTATATATATATATATATGTGTGTGTGTGTGCTCAGTGTTTCTGTAGGTATGTAATGTGTGTAAAATAGGGGGGTTAAATATTTTTCTACATTTTGTTTTAGTCCCCCCTCCCTGCTTCTTACCTGGCCAGGGAGGGGGGATATGGCATTCCCTGGGGTGCCCTTCCCAGCAGCTTCCTTGTCTAACGCTCGCTTCCTGCGTGCGGAGCATTGCCATGGTAACCAGTGTCACTGTTCTGACGGCCACGAGAGTTAGACAGGGGAGCTGAATGGAGCTGCTGCGAAGGTAAGTAAGAGTGTGCTGCGGGCACCTCCAGGACTCTGATGGCGGCCGTAGTCTGCAATATCGGTATCTTTATTGGCCGATACGATATTGCTGAAAATACAGACTATCGGCCGATAATATCTGTAGCCTGTAGCGCACTGCTGCCAGCAATAGTGCTGTGATTCGGGGCCAGTTCTTGTAACTGAAAAAAGAGATTTAGGGTATACAATGTTCAGGTGACTAGAGGAAGAATCAAGAAGAGGGAGGGACCATTATGGCATAGCACCCAGTCCTGTTACATAATCTAGCTATGGGGTCTAGGTCTGTAGATCTCCTCCACCTTAGGATAGCGCACCCGTTTGTTTCTAGTGTAAAATAATTAGGGACTGCGGCATTTAATAGATATTTGGTTAAGAATGTTTTTATATCTTGCTATAGTTTTTTTCTGGGCTGTAAGAGCATAGGAAGGGGCGGCAGTGGCAGGTCCGATACTGTAATCTCACAGATCTTGGCAATTCTCATCGTCCATTAGCGTCTGATGACAGGACTGGACCCCAGACGTGAACCCCAATGCCCGCATCTGTCCCACACCTCCAACAGTCGCTGGATAGTTCAGCGCTTATTGAGATGAAGTGATCTGGGTGTCTATAGTGTCCCTTAAAAAATGCGTCTGTTTGGCAGATCATGTTTTTCAATTCTGTTTTGCACAGTTTGACATCACACCATGCATTAAAAGCAATATTGCCTGGGATAACGGACCCTTTGCCAAATTGGATATATAGAATTTAGGGCAGATCCGTTAATGATCTGCCCATGGATTATATTGCTTTGTCTCTTACAAGACCTTGGCATATTTTGCAATGACAATTTGGTTTGTTAGCCTGGGGTAGGCACAAATGATAGAGATAATTACCAGAAATGCTCCTTCACATGTGCCTCCATGTTTCGTTTTTAAATTTTTTTTTAAAGCTTCTAAAGTATTAAGCCATTCATTTCCCTGTGTAATGGAGGGGATAAAGTATAAATGTTTCATGCATTGCATTAGAAAGGTTCTCTCACCCCAGAATAGTTTTTCTGTTACCAGTTTTTAAGTCATGAAATCAAGCTTCTGCTTTTTTATTCTTTATTTGGTGTACTTCAAGGAATAGCTGTTGTATCACCAGATGTTTCTTTCTTTTTTTTTTATTAATATACAGAGGGTTATAGTTTTTGTTCTCCTATAATTTTGAAATGATTTCTTTTGTAACATCGTTTTAGGGATACATTGTGTTGCAGGTCTCTTTGGGACTGAAGAACTTCGTTTTGCTCTCCCATTGCAACCTGAAAGGGTTTGTTTTCTTAGCATTGATTTCATGTTGGTATTGCATTGTTTTTCAGGAAGCGATAGTTTCGGCGGTAGAGGAGGAAGAGATGACTTCAACTCTGGTAAAGCATGTCTGTTTTTGCTATTGGGTCTATCAATTGTTCATCTCGGTGTTGGGCTCTGCATGTTACTTCTCAGTTTTTCTATTCAAAATCAATCTAAGCCAGGCTTCCCCAAACTCCGGCCGTCCAGATGTTGCCGAACTACAACTCCCATGATCCTTTGAATGAAATAGATAGCCAGAGAATCATGGGAGTTGTAGTTCAGCAACATCTCGAGGGCCGGAGTTTGGGGAACCCTGATCTAAGCCTTACCAATTTTTCACATACTTCTACTTCTTAATTTGGGAAACTTTAGACTATTAGACTTTTTTGCTCTGTGTGGCTTCTGGGAAAAAGATGTTTTTAAAACACTGTTTGCTCTATTATCAACTTATCTTATTGCAATTGTTATAGTGTCTTATTTAGGTTCCTCTGTGTCTTGACCTCCAGTGCTGTATATTTTAAGTTTGAAGGCTTGGAAGATTGGATTCAAGCCCTCTAGATAAGAATCTATACTACGACTTCACTAGGTGTCTAGGGATCTGTAATCTTGTAGCTCTGCTCTCTCACACGTCTTGCAGTGATGCCGGGAGTCGGAATATGATGTCAGTCTGGCCCTGGCATCACTAGACGGCATGCAGAGCAAAATAGCTTGCAAAGCTCCACTGGACCAAAGGTAGGGAGGCTGTGTGGACGTAAATTTAAAAAACCAAAACACTGTGCTACATTTGTAAAATTCATTTAAAATAAATAATTTTGGTCTTTTTCATTTTCCAGGAGATTTGCAACTAATTCAAAATGTACATAAAGAATGCATCTACTTACTTTTATTCTAGAGCAATTGGTCTCCTCGCAGCACTTTGCTCTGCTCATGGTGATGTTGTGAAGTCACAAGACTTTGTTCCAATAAAATGCTTTTATTTAAGAACATTGCCGACCCTCGCCACTATTGTGATTCCACAATCCACCAATGAAAATCCTTTCATAGAGAATCATTGAACACAATGATTCACTATGAGAAACCATGATTGTGACACTGCGCAATAGCTTTCTATGAGAAAACATTGGATTGGCTGAGATATCGGTAAAAAGGATAATCGGTCGATCCCTACCACACACTGCAGCCACTAGACACACTGCATCCACTACACACACACACACTGCATCCACTACACACGTAGCGTTTACTTACCTCCCCTCCAGCTCCCAGTGTAAGTCTCGCGAGATCCACGGCTGTCAGAGCGTTGCCACGGGTTACCATGGCAACGCTCTGCGCGGCACTAAGGGCCGCAAGATTTACACTGAGAGCTGGAGGAGCTGCAGGGGAGGTAAGTAAACGCTACCTGCGCCCCCCCCCACCCCAGCTCAGCCAATGCCACTGGACCACCAGGGACTGTCATATCCCCCCTCCCTGACCAGGTAACAAGCAGGGAGGGGGGACAACAAAAATAATAAAACATAAATATTAAAAATAAGCATAAAATAAAACAAACATTAAAAATTAAAAAGAAAATAATGCCTCCCCCCACCCCATTTTACACAAATCACATCCCTTCAGGAAAACACACACACACACACACACTGCATTATATACACACACACTACACACTCTGTATATAACGCAGAGTGTGTATATAGTGTAGTGTGTCTATATAATGCAGTGTGTGTGTGTGTGTGTGTTTACTACAAACACTGCATTATATATACACACACTACAAACACTGCATCATATATACAGACACACTGCATCATATATACAGACACACTACAAACACTACATATATACACACACTACACACACACTATATACACACACTATACAAACACTGCATTCACTATACAAACACTGTGTTCGCTATACACACACACACACACTACACACACACACACTGCATTCCCTTTATACACCACACACTCTGCATTCATTATATACACACTACACAGTCACTGCATTAACTATACACACTACACAAACACACCCTGCATTCATTATATATACTACACAAATATACACAGTTCCACTGTCTAAACACACTGCATCCAGTTCATGTGGCTTTTATATTCTGTGCATTTACCTTTTAGAAATAGTTTTTTTTCAAAATGGTAAATGTACAGAATATCGGCAAGTTATCGGCTATCGGCCTGAAAGATATCGGTCGATCGTGTAGTGGATGCAGTGTGTGTGTGTGTGTGTAGTGGATGCAGTGTGTGTGTGTGTAGTGGATGCAGTGTGTGTGTGTGTAGTGGATGCAGTGTGTGTGTGTAGTGGATGCAGTGTGTGTGTGTGTGTAGTGGATGGTGTGTGTGTGTGTAGTGGAGTGTGTGTGGTGTGTGTGTGTGTAGTGGATGCAGTGTGTGTGTGTGTGTAGTGGATGCAGTAGTGGTGTGTGTGTGTGTAGTGGATGTGTGTGTGTGTGGTGGTGTGTGTGTGTGTGTGTAGTGGATGCAGTGTGTGTGTGTGTGTAGTGGATGGTGTGTGTGTGTGTGTGTAGTGGATGCAGTGCAGTGTGTGTGTGTGTGTGTGTAGTGGATGCAGTGTGTGTGTGTGTGTGTGTGTGTAGTGGATGCAGTGTGTGTGTGTGTGTAGTGGATGCAGTGTGTGTGTGTGTGTAGTGGATGCAGTGTGTGTGTGTGTGTGTAGTGGATGCAGTGTGTGTGTGTGTGTAGTGGATGCAGTGTGTGTGTGTGTGTAGTGGATGCAGTGTGTATAGTGAGTGTTTCTATAGGTATGTAATGTGTGTAAAATGGGGGGGTTTTGTTTTAGTCTCTCCTCCCTGCTTCTTACCTGGCCAGGGATGGGGGATATGGCATTCACTGGGGGGCCTGCGGCGGTCCTGGGGCGCGCTTCCCTGTCTAACTCTCGCTGCGAGAGTTAGACGGGGAGCTGAATGGAGTTGCTGGGAAGGTAAGTAAGAGTGTGCTGCGGGCCCCCCCAGGACTCTGATGGCGGCCCTGGTCTGCAATATCAGTATCTTTATTGGCTGATACCGATATTGCTGAAAATACAGACTATCGGCCGATAATATCTGTAGCCTGTAGCGCACTGCTGCCAGCAATAGTGCTGTGATTCAGGGCCAGTTCGTGTAACTGAAAAAAGAGATTTAAGGTATACAATGTTCAGGTGACTAGAGGAAGAATCAAGAAGAGGGAGGGACCATTTTGGCATAGCACCCAGTCCTGTTACATAATCTAGCTATGGGGTCTAGGTCTGTAGATTTCCTCCACCTTAGGATAGCGCACCCGTTTGTTTCTAGTGTAAAAGAATTAGGGACTTTGCGGCATTTAATAGATATTTGGTTAAGAGTTTTTTTTATATCTTGCTATGGTTTTTTTCTGTTTTTTTTCTGTTTTTTTTTCTGTGCTGTAAGAGCATAGGAAGGGGCGGCAGTGGCAGGTCCGATACTGTAATCTCACAGATCTTGGCAATTCTCATCGTCCAGTAGGGTCTGATGACAGGACTGGACCCCAGACGTGAACCCCAATGCCCACATCTGTCCCACACCTCCAACAGTCGCTGGATAGTTCAGCGCTTATTGAGATGAAGTGATCTGGGTGTCTATAGTGTCCCTTAAAAAATGCGTCTGTTTGGCAGATCATGTTTTTCAATTCTGTTTTGCACAGTTTGACATCACACCATGCATTAAAAGCAATATTGCCTGGGATAACGGACCCTTTGCTAAATTGGATATGTAGAATTTAGGGCAGATCCGTTTATGATCTGCCCATGGATTATATTGCTTTGTCTCTTACAAGGCCTTGGCATATTTTGCAATGACAATTTGGTTTGTTAGCCTGGGGTAGGCACAAATGATAGAGATAATTACCAGAAATGCTCCTTCACATGTGCCTCCATGTTTCGTTTTTAAATTTTTTTTTAAAGCTTCTAAAGTATTAAGCCATTCATTTCCCTGTGTAATGGAGGGGATAAAGTATAAATGTTTCATGCATTGCATTAGAAAGGTTCTGTCACCCCAGAATAGTTTTTCTGTTACCAGTTTTTAAGTCATGAAATCAAGCTTCTGCTTTTTTATTCTTTATTTGGTGTACTTCAAGGAATAGCTGTTGTATGACCAGATGTTTTTTTCTTTTTTTATTAATATACAGAGGGTTATAGTTTTTGTTCTCCTATAATTTTGAAATGATTTCTTTTGTAACATCGTTTTAGGGATACATTGTGTTGCAGGTCTCTTTGGGACTGAAGAACTTCGTTTTGCTCTCCCATTGCAACCTGAAAGGGTTTGTTTTCTTAGCGTTGATTTCATGTTGGTATTGCCTTGTTTTTCAGGAAGCGATAGTTTCGGCGGTAGAGGAGGAAGAGATGACTTCAACTCTGGTAAAGCATGTCTGTTTTTGCTATTGGGTCTATCAATTGTTCATCTCGGTATTGGGCTCTGCATGTGACTTCTCAACATAGTTTTTCTATTCAACATTCAATCTAAGCCTTACCAATCTTTCACATACTTCTACTTCTAATATATTAATCTTCCTAATTTGGGAAACTTTTCTTTCCACTTTTGTTATGACTATTTTAATTCATACTTTGTCCATCAAATGTCAGTGATGCGTAAAACACAAATTGGGGTAATCAGCATTGAAATGTCTGTTATACAGCTACATGTTTGTTTTTGTTTTTTTGTTTTTTGCTTTTAAAGAGTGGTTTTGTGACTATCCAAGCTCAAATCATTGGAATACGTTCTGTTTGTGATTGGCAGATAATCAATATAGTGTGTTATAAATCCTCTTGCCATCATTCATGCAGTGGTAAATGGTGTTTGTACTTTTTGAAACCTTAAAACAGAGCAAATGTATCTAGAACCGAAAGACTGAGCAAGGGAATATAGGTCTTAGAGATTTATCTTAAAAATCATGTAACATTTTTTCAGCAGAAATATTAGACGTTTTTGCTCTGTGTGGCTCCTAGGAAAAAGATGTTTTTAAAACACTGTTAGCACTATTATCAACTTATCTTATTGCAATTGTAATAGTGTCTTATTTAGGTTCCTCGGTGTCTTGATCTCCAGTGCTGTATATTTTAAAAGTTTGAAGGCTTGGAAGAGTGGATTCAAGCCCTATAGATAAGAATCTCTACTACGACTTCACCAGGTGTCTAGGGGTCTGCAATCCTGTAGGTCTGCTCTCTCACACGTCTTGCAGTGATGCCGGGAGTCGGAATATGAGGTCAGTCTGGCCCTGGCATCACTAGACCGCATGTAGAGCAAAATGAGCTTGCAAATGATCAGAGTAGCTCCACTGGACCAAAGGTAGGGAGGATGTGTGGACGTAAATTTGAAAAACCAAAACACTATTTATTTTAAATGAATTTTACAAATATAGTACAGTGTTTTGGTCTTTTTCATTTTCAGGAGCTTTGCAACTAATTAAAAACGTTCATAAAGAATGCATCTACTTACTTTTATTCCAAAGCAATTAGTCTCCTCGCAGCACTTTTCTCTGTTCATGGTGATGTCATGAAGTCACAAGACCTTGTTCCAATCTAATAATAAAATAGTATTTAATCAGGAAAGGTACTTTCAGATTACTCTGGTTTTCAAATACATCCTAGGGATGTTACCTTAACCCAGCATCCAGGGGTTTTTACTATACCCAATTTTTATTTAAGAACATTGTCGACCCTCTGCACGATTGTGGCTTCACAATCCACCAATGATAAGCCTTTCATAGAGAATCATTGAACACAATGATTCACTCTGAGAAACCATGATTGTGACTCTGCGCAAGTAAACAAGTGGATTGTTTGTCAGAGCAGCTCATACCTCACTCGTTGTAACGCAGAAGCCCTAAACCTTTGACATTAGCATGCTAGTGCTAATGTCACTGCATGAGTAGACATAAGATCCGGGAGGTTACTGGCTCTCCAATTCAGAGAGCTTAGAAGCCGCACTTTCGAAACCTTAAAACAACTGAACTAGATCTAGTTGGAGTATAGGAGCAGGGGGAAATTTCTAAGGCACTTTAACAACTTCAGTAAGATGAAACTGTTATAGTGCCTACAGTGTTTCTTTAACGTTGCTAGGACATTATGGAACGTCCTAGTTTGAGCAAACGACACCTGGGGCTCCCCTCTGTCAACTGAGTCTATATTTAGTAGCCTCAGATTAAAAGGACACTATAGTTACCAGAACCACTACAGCTTAATGTAGTGATTCTCTTGTCTATAGCCTCTCCTTCTAGGTTTTTCAGTGTAAATGTTGCCTTTTCAGAAGAAACAGTATTTACTTTGCTACTTAGAAACACCTCTAGTGGCAGTCACCCAGACTGCCACTAGAGGTGCTTTCTAGTCCATTGTTTTACAGTGTTCAGCGTGTCCACACTCTGGATGTAGGTGCTGAATGTTCCCTATAGAGATGCATTGATTTTTGAGCAATAATTACCAGAAATGCTCCTTCACATGTGCATCCATTTTTCCGTTTAGTCTTATTTTCAGCTTCTAAAGTATTAAGCCATTCATTTCCCTGTGTAATGGAGGGGATAAAGTATAAATGTTTCATGCATTGCATTGGAAAGGTTTTCTCACCCCAGAATAGTTTTTCTGTTACCAGTTTTTAAGTCATGAAATCAAGCTTCTGCTTTTTTATTCTTTATTTGGTGTACGTCAAGGGATAGCTGTTGTATGACCAGATGTTTGTTTCTTTTTTTTTATTAATATACAGAGGGTTATAGTTTTTGTTCTCCTATAATTTTGAAATGATTTCTTTTGTAACATCGTTTTAGGGATACATTGTGTTGCAGGTCTCTTTGGGACTGAAGAACTTCGTTTTGCTCTCCCATTGCAACCTGAAAGGGTTTGTTTTCTTGGCGTTGATTTTATGTTGGTATTGCCTTGATTTTCAGGAAGGGATAGTTTAGGCTGTGGTAGGCACAAATAAGAGCGATAATTACTAGAAATGCTCCTTCACATGTTCCTCTGTCTTTCCGTTGAGTTTTAGGAGTCAACATAATTGTGTAACGCCTGTATCAGCAAGAACCTTTTATCCTCAGCAGTCACTGTGGAGGGATATTGGGAACTGAAAAAAATCTTTTCTGCCTGTTAACTTATTTTTTTAAATTTTATTCATTTTTGTCATCATTCTCTGATTTTAAACATAAATCAAAGTAGTCCATAATTTGACTTTTGAAATATTTGTATTCTGTTGGGATTTAAAAAAAAAAAAAAAAATCAAATTTTGTAAATACAAGTGTTTTATGATTCCTTTTCTTTGTGACAGAGCTGTTTTAGTGTGTTTTAACATCTTGACACTTTCTGCCATTTATACAGTCTCTTCCTATTAATAACTTTTAAATTATTGCAATATATTTGTAAAAAAATTTTAACCTGGGAAGGTGGGGCAGCATTGGGTGCTGTGATTTGTTTAGTGCGTCAATCACAGTGCGCATTGCTTATTTGAATTGGTATGGCTAGAAGGAAGTGTGTAATCTTTGACTTACCTTCACCTCTAGTAGAGCCTGAGCTGTGCGTGGTCAGGGAGCCTTAATTAGCGGTGAACTGCGTAGAATCAATTTGGTGTTTATAGTGCAGTGTACAAATGCCTCATAAATTTAAAATAAAACCCGTTTTTCTCCAATTAATTTGCAAAATTGGCTAACTGTAAGATTACTTCACGTAACCACCTCATGACTTAAAACAATAGAAAGCCTGTTCAGTGTGTAAAAGTACTCATATTAATACTCTTGTTTTTGTATTTAATGGAAACTCCAAGCACCATAACCACTACAACTCATTGCTTGTAGTGGTAGAAGGATATCAGTGCAGCACCATGACTATTACAATAAGTTGCAGTGGTTATGGTGCTTTAAAGGAACACTATAGTGTAAGGAATAAAAAGTTGTATTCCCAACAATATAGTGCTGCTTCAATGCTTTCTTTTGGAGCTTTTCTCAAGCTGGACATCCTCATGTTGAGCGTGTGGACGTTCAACTTTGTTTTTCCGAGTCAAACTGGTCTGGTGGACAGCCAGTAGAAGCAGTCTTAGTACTGCCATGTAAACGTTGCAGTTTTAATGACCCAGCAGCAATTTGTCTTGTCGTGTTCAGCTGAAACTGAAGTATGGTGCTCTGGGTTTTATTTGAATACCAAATTCCCATTTACCAATATTCACCTCTTGATGGCGTGTTTGTAAATATAAACATACCAGGCAAATGTTTGGAATAAACAGACTTGGACCGGTTTGTGCAAACCCTTCCATGATGGGAAGCTTGCTAAAACTTGTAAATGTTTTGTTGACCTTTTTCAGTGACTATAGTAAAAATGTATATAGTACCATATATCTGGGGTTGAGGGAGAGGTTTCTGTTTTAGAGGTGGGTGTTTTTCTATTCGGAAGTAAGTGTGGCAGTATTTATTATGTTTATATTTGAGCATTTAAAGTTGCTTTTCTTGCAATACAGTCTCCTGATTTCATCTTCCCTGAGTGCAGGTTGTATTTGAAGACATTGCTTTCATCTTGGTATTTACGAAACGCTAAATGATCCACCATTGACTTAATTCTTTCCATCATGTTTGATATTGTAAATAAAACTTTCTTAACATGATCATGCTTGCTTTTTTTTTTTTTCTTTTCTTTTTTTTTTAGGCTTTAAAGATGATGATTTTTTAGGAGGCAGAGGCAGAGGGGGTCGTGGTGGTCCAGCTGATCGACGAGGCCCTCCACCTTCTGCAGGAGGCCCTGCTCGTTTCAGAGATGCACCGCGCGGTGGTTCAATGGATTTCCGAGAACCATCAGAAGGTTTGCGATCGAAACCCTTTTTAAGCTTATTTCATAGTTAGTGAGTTAGAGGCCTGACTTGAATTAGGTGTTTCAAACAACCAATAAACTATTTTTTGGTGTAGAGCATTTCAATTTAGAGTTCTTATCTATATTTTGTTCATCTATTGTGTCCAAGAAAATTGAAGTAGTCCATCTAATGTAATTTTCAGCTTATTTAAATTGGCCAAAGCTGGTACACTAAATCTGGTTTTCCATGAAGTTGTTAAAATGTTTTATAAATGTGTATTTTTATTTATTTTCAAGCAAGTCATTGGTTCAAAACAAATGCTTTATGCAACTCATTGTTATTGTTAGAGAAAGCCAAAGAAGCCCTTTGATCTTTTCTTTTCTGCATGGATGCAGTCTGAAGTGACATAATCAGTAGATTACTCTTTGAAAGACTATGAAGCTAAATTAGGGAATCCAAATCTGTTTTTGGCTACATCTAGTATCTTCCCAGAGCACAGACTGTTAATATATTTCACTAAAGCAGGGGCCAAAGGACAATAGAAACGCAGACCTAATCAAATACACCAATAAACCGAATGGCTGTACAAGTAAATTAACTTGAAGATGGTACGCACCACTTGCTTTAAGCCCATGAAGGACAAATGAATGAAATGCACCAGGATCTGGGGTTAAAATTTATTTTTACCCAGCCTCCTGAGGTGAAATATGGATTAGCAACAGCTCAATAAAATATGTCTAGTTAAAGCAGCTGCCCAAACTAATAGAGGCAACAAATATATAATGACTGAATATAGGTGCACCTATACAGAGTATTTCATATTATACAAGTGTGTGTGTATTATTATTTATTATTGGTATTTATATAGTGCTAACAAATTCCGTAGCACTTTACAATATTATTGGAGGGGGGATTTAACAATGAATGAGACCATTACAAAAAGTTACGGAACAGTATGATGAAGAGGGCCCTGCTCAAACGAGTGTGTGTATGTATATGTGTGCATATATGTGTGTGTATATATGTATGTGTGTGTGTATATATGTATGTGTATATACACATTCCAAAAGTGACCTAAACATAGCAGTGAGAGAGAATGTGAATTTTTAATTTAATAGCATTTTTGTCTGTAATGTCTTAAAGGGTTTCTCCAACCTCCCATCCCTTTTTTTTTTTTTTTAAATGGTAAGTTATTTTTTTTACACCTTTAAGTAATGCCCTCTTAGCATTATTTACCAGGGTGCCCCCTCCCAAACACATAGGATTCTCAATTAAGGTTTTACTTGCCTTCATCTAGCGAAGCTCTCTGCACAGTTTAGCGCACCCACCATGACGAACGTCACCTGAGCAGCTCCGAGGTCCGATCAAAGGCTTATCATAGAGAAATCTTTGATAGGTACATATACCTGGCTCTTATCGCGTAGGATAGTGAGATGGGAGGGCTACAATGAAGGAATAATGGGGAACCAATCTTTCCCTTGCATACACACTGCCTGCAGGGGGAAGATTTTCACGACAGATGGTTTTTATGCACTGAATTGACATTGGCAACCCGGAATAGAGTTCTGGGCTACCAATGTTACCTATGCTGGGGATGTAACTAGCCAAAAGCACACAATTAAAAAAATTACTTTGAATGTGCAGTGTTTCAAGCTGAATCAGTACACATACTGACTTCTACTCCCATGACCACTTCAAACCACTGAAGTAACCTGTTAAAAGGCTACTTCAGCAACCTACAATTTTTGGTGTAATAGTCAGATCTCCTGATTGTGTTTAATATGAATTATTAATATGTTTTGCAAATCATTCTATCCCTCACTACCATTAAACTACAAATAAAGCTGTACTTGATATCAGGAATTGGGTTTCTGGGGGTTGTAGTTCACCTATAGACTGTAAACTCGTTTGAGCAGCGCCCTCTTCAACCTATTGTTCATGTAAGTTTTTGTAATGGTCTCATTTATTGTTAAATCTCCCCCGTTGATATTATTGTTAAGCACTATGGAATATGCTGGCGCTATATAAATACCAGTAATAATAATAATGTGTTTGCAATCTACAGTAGAAAACTGACATTTCCAAGGGCTCATAGAAAATCCTGCACAGCCTTGAGGTTTATAGAAAATGCACGAGCCTTTATTATGTGAGCCTTTCTTTTTGATTTGTTTTTGCATGGTTTTTAATACTGTAGTATGCAGTGTATTGAAGAAGATTAAATCATGTCTGGAATAATATGGCTTTCTTATTTTGCACTAATACAGAGGAGAGAGCACAGAGACCACGACTTCAGCTTAAACCCAGGACGGTTGCCACGCCCCTCAATCAAGTAGCCAATCCAAACTCTGCCATCTTCGGAGGTGCTAAACCCAGAGAAGAACTTGGTGAAAAGCCGAAGGAATAAGCTGAATATTGGGAGGGACAGAGGGGAGAGAGAGTAAGCTAGTCACTCTGAGGAACATCCACCCTGCAGTTACCATTCCTGCCTCCTGACATTAACTCCTCATTCCCTCCTTATTGAAACAGAAAACACTGAGCTTGTGAATGCATGTCAGCTGTTAACAAGTGGTTTTTAGTACATTCTCTGCTTTTTCTGTAACTAGTACCTGCTTTTTGTGCTGTTTCCATCCTTATCCCCGTTAACAACTGCAGTGGAAACTTCTTCCATACACGAGAAATTGATTTTGGACTTGGGAAATAATTTTTTTCTTCACCTTTCTTTTCATTTAGGAGCACAGGTGTTATCACTGAGTTACTCTGTATCGCTGCCTCTGACAGCTTCAGTTCTCTCTTCTAATCTGCATGTTTTGTTCTGTATTGCCAAGACTCTGCAAGAAGGTAGAATTTGATCCTTCCATAAATTAAAGCAAGACAGGCACTTGTTAACCTGTTAATTGACACATCACGTAACTGTTTTTGGCTACATTGTGGTATCACAAACACTTCCTATATCTTTGCACATGGTTATCCTTTTATGTACACACTGCTACATGGAGAACAATCGTGAAAACTTTGTTTACATTTAATTCTCTTGGTGTGGATCTGAATTGTCTACATGATTTCTCATTTAAGTTATAGTGGTCACAAAAATGTCTGATAGGCACAACACTGTAGGTGTCCAAGTATGTAAAGAGACAGTGAGAGGGCCTTGAGTAGGGATAGTTTCCAGAGAAAGATAACTGGCATTTTCAGACTTTTTAATTATTTTCATTTTTTTTTATATATATATATATATTGTAGTTTTAAAAATGACAATAAAAGCCTTTTTTATTTTACAAATTAACTTCTTTAAATAGCAAAACTGCTCATTCAGCCTTAAATACACTGCTTTTTTTGCAGTCATTCAGTTTGCACCTGAAACTGTATTGCACAGTTACTGTTCCTTGCTTTAAATGTGAATCGCTCCATGAGTGACAAGTTTTCTGTTATGGGGATCATAATAGGCATGTATTTTGATAGCTAGTCTGGCTCCCTGGCGGCCAGTAGAACGTTATATAGTCTGCTGTGCTAGCATTGGTGAAACTCTGTTCTTTCTCCCAGATTGTCCTCCTGCAACGTCTGCAAATAAAGGTGCATATATCTACCCAGAGCAAGGGCTCAATGTTTGGCATTTAAAATGGTTTGCAGCAAATTAGGCTTCCTTTTTTTGTGCTGTGGATTTCCCCCCTCCCCCAAAGAATTCAAAAAATTTAATTTCCAAATGGCTTCAAATCATAAAAAGTATCAAGTTTTGTGTATATATATTTTGAGCTCATAAATAAAAACACAACTACAATGCTTTTACTGCCTGAAGTGTGTGAAGATGCATTTTGTAGCAACCAGTATACACCAGTGTTAAAAAATAAAATAATAAAAAATAAAAAAAGCCAATGATTATTTTACCTGCAGTGTCAACGCAAACCAGAGCCTCTTTCCCTCTTTTTTTCCTTGCTTCAGTACACCTTGCTTTAATAAGAACCATTTGTCTAACACTAGTACCGGAAATAAGACATGCGTTGTGTTAATGTTAAAAAAATAAAAATAAAAAAAAGTGGGGAGAAAAAAAAAAACTATACCTTCAGATTACAATAGATCAATCTGCATATGCTGTGTGGGAAAATCAAGCAAATTAAACAAAACTACATGACTGGTCTAAACATTTGACTTTTAAAAGCAATTCCAAACACTCTACACATTCTGCTTCATGACAAAAAAATACATCTATGAATATGGTATTTTGTGGAAGATCTTTTAAATAAAAGAAAACCTTAACGATACTCTTTTGTAAGCTTTGTTTCTCCTTCTGCTTTGTTTAAACCATTGGGATTTTATTTAACTCCTCTTAATAATAATATATATATTCTTGTGCCCTGCACTCCCTTCTCCATGTATTGTCAGAGCCTCTGTGCCAGACTTTGACAGAATCCCAAAAAGAGAGAATTTGCAGGACTTGTATTCAATTCATGTTGTCGATGTTTCAGTCCAAACCGGTCTTGAAAAAAAAACATAAATAATGCTTAATAATTAACTCCTGCAAAGGATTATGGATGGTTTTGTGCTAATGAGTTTAACAAAGAACCACATTTTTGCCTCATATTCAATCATTTATACATTTATTTACTATTGCCATTTATATATCGCCAACCGATTCTGTAGCGCTTTACAATATTATGAGAGTGGGGATTTAAAGGACCACTATAGTGCCCTGAGGGTGCCCCCACCCTCAGGGACCCCCTCCCGCCGGGCTCTGGAGAGAGGAAGGGGTTAAACACTTACCTTTCTCCAGCGCCGGGCGGGGAGCTGTACTTCTCCTTGCTCGCGACGTCGGGCTGAATGCGCATGCGCGCCAGGAGCCGCGCGCGCATTCAGCCGGTCGCATAGGAAAGCATTTACAATGCTTTCCTATGGACGCTTGCGTGCTCTCACTGATTTTCACAGTGAGAAGCACGCAAGCGCCTCTAGCGGCTGTCAATGAGACAGCCACTAGAGGCTCTGGAGGCTGGATTAACCCTCAGTATAAACATAGCAGTTTCTCTGAAACTGCTATGTTTATTTAAAAAAGGGTTAATCCTAGAGGTACCTGGCACCCAGACCACTTCATAAAGCTGAAGTGGTCTGGGTGCCTAGAGTGGGCCTTTAACTATAAATAGGACAATTACAAGAAAGCTTACAGGAACGATGGGTTGAAGAGGACTCTGCTCAAACGAGCTTACAGTCTATAGGAGGTGGGGTATAAAACACATTAGAACAGGAAATAGCAATCAAATAAGGTGGGAGTGAAGCAGAGCTGGAGGAGAGGGTAGAGTGCTGCCCTTTAGAAGAGAGCAAGAGACGGGTATGTGTGGTAGAGGTTACTCTGGGAGGCCATAAGCTTTCCTAAAGAGATTGGTTTTAAAGCACTTAAGTGATTGAAGTGTAGGGGAGAGTCTGATGGTGGTAGGTAGGCTATTCCATAGGAAGGGAGCCGCCCGCGAGAAGTCCTGCAAGCGTAAGTTAGTCGTACGGGTCCGAGCAGCAGCCAGGAGAAGGTCATGTATTCCTTATAACAATGTATTTACTATCCACTTGTGCTCCACAAGTAGCAGGACAGTAACTAACATAATGCTGATGAGTTGTAATAATGAAACAGTCGTACATGAATGGTTATCTGGCTTTGCACTGCTTCCGGAGTTAAAGGAACAGTATAGTCACCATAACTACAGTTTAATGTAGTTGTTTTCATGCAAACACTGCCTTTTCAGAGAAAAGGCAGTATTTACATTGCCCCTAGGGACACCTGCAAGTGGCCACTGGAGGTGCTTCATGGCTCAGTGCTGCAAAGTAGGCAGCACTGCCGTTCAGCATCTCCACGCTCTGCATGGAGACGCTGAATTTTCCTCATAGAGATGCATTGATTCAATCTTGACCCGAACTCCCCATCCAATTATCGTCCTATCTCGCTACTGCCTTTTGCATCCAAGATCCTTGAAAAAATTGTGTATGCGAGATTGACAGACTTCCTAGAGTCCAACACTCTGCTGGACCCGCTTCAGTCTGGTTTCCGTGCAATGCACTCTGTGGAAACGGCACTGACCAAAGTATCCAATGATCTACTCGCTGCAAAATCTCGTGGTCACTACTCTATTCTAATTCTCCTTGACCTGTCTGCAGTTTTTGACACTGTTGATCATCAACAGCTTCTTCTCATCCTCCGCAATATCAGTCTACAAGATACTGCTCTTTCCTGGTGCTCCTCCTACCTCTCCCAGCGCTCTTTCAGTGTTTCTTTCTCTGGCTCTGCTTCTCCCCAACTCCTCTCTGTTGGTGTCCCCCAAGGTTCCGTCCTTGGTCCCCTACTGTTCTCCATCTATACTGCCTCCCTTAGTAAACTCATTAGCTCCTTTGGCTTCCAATATCATTTCTATGCGGATGACACGCAAATCTACTTGTCCTCTCCTGATCTCTCCCCGTCCCTCTTGACTAGTGTCTCTGACTGCCTCTCTGCTGTTTCTAACTGGATGGCTGCCCACTTCCTTAACCTAAACTTGACCAAAACTGAAATTCTGGTCTTTCCTCCCTCAAGTGTTGTTACTCCTGTGTCTGTCTCCCTCCAAGTCAACGGTGCTACCATCAGCTCCACCACGCAGGCTCGCTGCCTAGGTGTTCTCTTTGACTCCGACCTCTCCTTCAAGCTTCATGTTCAATCTATTGCCAAATCCTGTCATTTCCATCTAAAAAAACATTGCATGCATCCTCCCCTACTTAACGCCAGATGCGACTAAGGTGTTGGTCCATTCCACTGTCCTTTCTCACCTTGACTACTTTAATCCGCTTCTCAGTGGTCTTACGTGCTCCCAGCTAGCGCCGTTACAGTCCATAATGAATGCGGCGGGGAGGCTAATCTTCCTGTCCGCACGCACCTCCCATGCTGTCAATCCCTATTGGCTTCCTATAAAATATAGAGCTCAATTTAAAATTCTGGTTCTTGCTTTCAAATCTCTACATAATGCTGTTCCCACCTGTCTATCCTCCCTTATACACAAGTATAGGCACTTACGATCTGCTGAAGACGTACGTCTATCTACTGTCCGTACTCTCGAGGACTGCACCGTTCCTTTGGAACTCGCTTCCCTCCTCCGTTAGATGCTCACCCAGTCTCCACTCCTTCAAAAAATCTTTAAAAACCCACTTCTTCATAAAAGCGTATCCATTAAATTGTTAATAGCTCCTGACTGATTCTTTTTCTGCAACTGTCATTAGTCTAATACTATCCTTACCTTTTTGTGTCATTTTACCCCACTCCCTCTAGCATGTAAGCTCATTGAGCAGGGCCCTCTGTCCCTGTGTGTCCAACTTATCTGGTTACAACTACATGTCTGTTCGTCCACCCATTGTAAAGCGCTGCGGAATTTGACGGCGCTCTATAAATATAATGAGGAGGTGCTGATTGGCCGAACACTGTGTTTGGTCCCGCCACTTTGCCGATTTTAGCCAATTTGGGAAAGCATTGGCTTAAAATCAGCAATTCTGATTGCCACAAAGGGGGCGGGGCGGCAAGGCGCTGGAAATAATGGGAGTTTTTCATGCTTTTAAGGGGGCTGGGGAGGGGTGACAAGCCACCTAAATGGTGGGTTTAGCACTATAGGGTCAGGAATACAAGCTTGTGTTCCTGATCCTATCCTATAGTGTTCCTTTAAAAGACGTTGTGTTCAAAAGACATGTAATCCATGTATAAAGTGGGGAAAAAATGAGGCTAATGGGTGGTTCTCGGTTGAACTAATTTGCATATGCCCACCCAGCATACCTTGCAGTAAGTAGTATCAGCACTGCAAATGTGAGATTTCTGTGGGGAAAAGCAAGTCTTATGGCTTGTATGGTGTATGCAGAAATGTGTTGAAATATTTATTTACTATTGACTTCAGGTGGGAAGGTGTTTTCAATCACTCGCCTGCCCCACCATAAAATGATATATAAATATATATTTTTAATGAAAATATATATACATTTTTTTAATTCCAAATGTATATTATTAAGGTATAATTGTAGATTATGCTAACGTAGTGTACCTATAATCTTAATTTTAATAATGACAGGAGGCGAATATTTAGCATAACTTTCTTTACTTTATGCCTCCAGCAGCACAAGTCAATCAATAAACGTTAAACCAATCAGTAACAGGCATCACATCCATATATAAAGCCCTGACAGACACATGACTTCCTCTTTCTTTGATGCGAAAAACAGTCTATTATAACGTCAGGGAATTCAAATAACAGTCCTGATTAACGTGTAGCACATAACTTGAAACGAAACTTGAAACCTTCCAGCTTTATCTTGTCGAATCCATCTATGATGATTACGCTGAAAAGAACAGAAATACGTGAAAGGTGATGGAAACCAACTGTTGTCCACATTAAATCCAGTACTATATGTGTCTATATTAATATTAAGTTAATATACTGAAACATTAAACAAACCATAGTATACTTAATAATCAACACGGATCTAACACATGTCAACCAAATAAGCATCCCATAAATATACTGAATTACCAAAACCTTATAATTTACACTGAGAAAATGACAAACCAGAATATAAACATTTTCCAGAGTATAGGGAGGGAAAATATTCGCCTCCTGTCATTATTAAAATTAAGATTATAGGTACACTACGTTAGCATAATCTACAATTTTATCACATGACAGGAGGCTTCATATTTTGCATTTTTAAAGCTGTGGTATGAGCGAGAAGGATGCGTGTGTGGTTGACGAAAATAAATATACGGAAGTAGTCTATCCGTGTCCAATTCGTCGCTGAAAATATAGAGGCCCCCTCGTGAAGGCCTGAGAAGCAGCCGCGCCTCTTACCGAATGAGTACCCAAACACGTCTCCACCCTCGCTAGCAATAACCAATGAACCCATCTAGACAGAGTGTTCATGGTAACTGGCTTGTACGGTTGGTATAAGACCAGCAGATGTCCTGAATGTGACATTCTAAGTGTTGTCGTGATCTCCATGTAACAAAGTACCGCTTTAACTGCACAAAGACTGGGAAACCGTCGGTAACAGGGAACGATATGGACGCGGATAAGATAAAGTTCTACGAGACACTGTAGAAATCATTCTTTCCGGTGATACCGAAAAGACCGTCTACGTCGAACTCCAGTACATCTGATACCCGACGAAAAGACCTAAAAGTAACGTGACTCTGGCTAACGGCTGACTGAGGGATAGGACCGTGATATCTGACTAGCTCCAAAAGAACCAAATCAAAGTCCCACACCAGTGATACTTTGACGCATGGTTCTGGACGGTTTGATACCCCGCAGAAAATGGCATATCAAAGGCTCTTGATTGACCGGAGTGTCGTGAATCGTGCTATGCGTCGTCGAAATCGCAGAACGTAGCCCGTTAATGGAACGTTCCGATCGGCCTGTAGTGAAAAGGTATGATAAAGATCCAGCATCGTGGAGATTGGGGTAATAAAGGGATCGCACTCCCTTCCCATACACCAGCGAACTCCAGGTGTTCCATGCGGATAAGTTATTTCGGGGAATACCTGGTGTCCATGAGTCCCATAGTAGGTCTCTAGTTGGTTGCGATAGTCCCTTGACATACCAGTCTCCCCTGGAAGACACCAATCTACCAACTCCAGATGCTCCTGCATTATCAATGGATGATGTTCTCCTTTTGGATCCGCCCGAAGGCAAGTTAAAAGGGAAGGAGCAGAGGATGATCCTGATTAAGGACAACCCTTCTGGGTGTCACACTTGACTCCTTTACCGCAGTAATGAGTACTATCGAAGTCTTCGCTATTCTGATCCCAATTTCATAGGTGTGTCCTTATCTCAGGCAGTGAGCTTGGCCCGGTAGTGAAGCAGTCCTGGGAAATAGTCAAAGGGTTATGGTGCCTTTCTGCCATGCCCGTCGAATTTCCTTACGAATCGTCGCTATCAATGATGTGGGAAGGTGTAATCCGCCCAAGGTGGAATCTATTCTGAAGTAGAGGAACTGAATCACTCGGAACTGGGATCGAACCGACTCCTCTCTGTTCACTATGAACCCCAACAATTCCCGAAACTGTAAACATAAATCTCGTTTGTAAACGTAGTCATGAATTGGATTTGCAAAAAGTAAGTCGTCTAGGTATGTGACAGCAGATACCCTTTGCTTTTCAGTGCGCCGTGACCGACTTCAGAAACTTCATGAGGCACCATGTGAACCTATTGGTAAGTGCCCTTCAAGTCCAACCTTGTAGATCCCCTAAGACATGGATACCTTCCTTCTTGAGTTGTCGGTACGCCCCAAAACCATTGGGTTGGCATAGGTTGATGACTGGGTGATAGTCTCCTATCTTCTTCCTTACTACCAAACCGTTGCTGAGATAAATGGTTCTCCAAACAATAGTCCGTCCGCCTGAGGTCCTCGCTCTTTCGTCCCTAACTTCAATAGTTTGAAATCCATCTTTAATCGGGCTGCTTTGCGCCGTTCTGTGCACCTGTCTGCCTTGCGTTCCCCAACCTACATATTGCCCTTTGCACCCACTCCCTCACATCGTGAGCTTCTAGAGGTGAGTCTTGTGTGGGGTCAGGTCCGCAAAGTATAGAATTTTTTCCCAGGCTGATCATATCCAGTATTTCATCTTAACTCGCTTTGAGTCCTCCTCCTACACCTTTACATGGACCCCGGCCTGATCGGGACATACATATCACCACGAGCTCCATAGTGAGGACTATCTTGTTCAGACATAGAGGGCGTGGGCATTCCATCCTGAGCCTGTCTCGGATTTCTTTTCCCATAGGCCTCCTAAGCCAGAAGTGGGCCCGGTGCTCCGGTTAACCCCATTCGGATGACCCTGGTTGTCGGATGGTGCGTGAGTCAAAACAGGAGTGTCCAGTGTGCCAAAGAAAAAAAACCTTTCTTGCTAGGCGGGTCTTGTCACTTTTACCTCTTCTGCCCTCCATTCTTTCATGATCTCCAGAGAAGGGGGGGAGGATGAAGTCCTCGTCCCCTGATGATGGGTGTCCGACCTAACGTCGGTATCTCAATCTTCCATTGGTGTTGCTGCCGTTGCACCCGCTCTGTCGGATGGGTTGTTAGCCAGCATACTGGAGAGGACTTCTTCCCCCGGAGCTGTCATGGTGGCCTTAATCCTCGCCTGAAAATCGGTCGGGGATATTGAGGTAAGTCCGACATGTTGGTTCACACCCTTTCGGTCCGTGGGAGACAGGATCGTACAACAGTACACTTATTGCCACTCAGTGGGCCTCCGCGTATAACTGGGGGTCACCCAGAATTTTGATCAATCAGTATCATTTTCGCAGGATCCGGGGAGTGGTCTGAGAATGAGGACATCCTCAGTAAGACCAGGATGAGCGGTCTGCAATGTCGGGACGTAGCCCGAGTCTGGGAGACGTGAAAGCCTCTATATATAGTCCACGGGGTTCATCCTTATATGGTCTAGAATTGTGGAGTTTTGGCAGCACTGTGAGTTCTCCTTCTCGGTTAAGGGAAGGGCGTACAGAACCCCAGTTGAAGCATAGAGGTGCCAGAATACATGCATCTAGTGCGCCCTGGTCTGTGCATACAATGACAGAGCGTACTCTGAAGGTAGAAGCCCTAGAAAGGGTGCGGGGGGTCACCCCGTCCGGTAAGGGGTCACCCCTTTGTACCTATGCCACTAGCACCGGAGTAAGACTCGCTTGGGGTTCACCCAGCATAGGGGGGTCACCCCTGTATGAATGTCTCTTATGGCATGTTGGGACACTCTTTCGGTCTATGGGGTACCGAACAGGTGTCAGGTACGGTAGTACACTTATTGCCACTTAGTGGGCCTCCACGTACGACTGGGGGTCACCCAGAATTGTTTCAATCAGTACCACTTAGAGATTTCCTGGGAGTGGTCTGAGGAGGGGATCACCCTCAATAAGACCGGGATGAGCGGTCAGTAATGTCGGGACGTAGCCCGTGTATGGGGAGGTATGGTAGCCTCCAAATTATCCAAGGGGTCACCCTTATAGGATATAGTACTGTGGAGAATTGGCAGCACCGTGAGCTCTCCTTCCTGGCTCTGTCGATATACATGTATTCAGTGTGACCGGGTCTGTGCATACAGTAACAGATCGTACTCCGTGGATATGAGCCCGCCTTAGGGCGTGGGGGTTCCCCCCAGTATATGTATGTCACTAGTACTGGAATAATATTCCCTTGGGGTTCACCCAGCGTAGGGGGATCACCCCAGTATATGTATGTCACTAGGACAGGAACCAGATTCGCTTGGGGGTCACCCAGCGTGAGTGGGGTCACCCCTGTACCACAATGTCACTTTGGAGAGGTGTCTGCCACGCTTGGGGGTCACCCAGCGTAAGGGGGGTCACCCCTGTTAATCACTCCATTATGTGCCTCCACTACTGTGTCCTGGGAGGTGTATCCCTGTGGGGAAGGAGTGTATCCAATGGTTGTGAGGTCCAGTGGGAATAGGGAGCGGAGTAAGATATCAGCTCTATTTAATTTCCCTGCCAGTAGATAGAGTAATGCATCCACTATATGCCCACAGCAGGGGACAGTCCATTCATAATCCTCCAGATGTACAATAAAACTGTTATTCAACATGTCAATTGTATAGAACAGAATAGAGCAAACTGTCAGCAGATGCACACAGCAGGGATCAGTCCTACATATTCATGTAGAGTTACATATAAAACTTTTATTTCACATGCCAATGAAATATGACAGTATAGAGCTCAGCAGTGAACAGTCCATTCATAATCTTCCAGAAAAGGTACATACAAAACCTTTATTCCACATGCCCATGATATGTAACAGTATTGAGCTCAAAAGTACTTGTAAAACTTTTATTTCACAGGGAAAATATATGAAACAGTATAGAACTAGCTGCCAGTTCGTGGGAATCACGAACTGGCCAAACGACGTGGCCGACGTGAATCTCGCGAGTGCCGCTAGATTCAAGATGGCCGCCGTTCGCGCGCAAAAGTGCCGTGCGGCCCACGATCGAGGATACAATCGCGGCCCGCCGGCATGGAATAGAGTCCCCCCGACACCCCCAACCCCCAGAGACCTGCCCTGAAGTCCCAGCACCAATGAATAAAAGCGTGCCCACGGTAAAATGCCGCGATTGCCGAGACCAGAGTAAAGCATAGGAAAGAAAAGGTGCCAGCAACAGAAACAGGTTAATAAAGCAGAAAATACAGGGTTAATTCGGGGGAAGAGTAACAGGGGAAGAATATCACACTATACAAGCCCAAATGGAAGGCAAGTGCAAAATAATGAAAACATTTAGGCCAAAATTGCAGGACAAGCTAATAAAGTTTAACAAAAGTAGCCATGCATATCCAGAAACAGTTTGGAGCAAAAACTGAATGTCTAGCATTAAAAATCTAACTAACGTTACCATAGCAAAACAGTTGGAGCAAACTGAAAGTCAAGTAATAAAGTTTAATTAAAGTGGTAACCAGAAAAAACAGTTAGGATTAAAACTGAATGTCTAGCATAAGGTGTCTAACTACAGTGACCATAGCAATATTAATAAAAACAGTTTGGAGAAAACTGAAAGTTAAGCAATAAATTATTAACTAATGACAATTGCAATATCAGTAAAACAGTTTGGAGCCAAATACTCTGACCTGTGCCTTGGCTGGTAAGCAGCAAAGAAAGAGGAAGTCATGTGTCTGTCAGGGCTTTATATATGGATGTGATGCCTGTTACTGATTGGTTTAACGTTTATTGATTGACTTGTGCTGCTGGAGGCATAAAGTAAAGAAAGTTATGCAAAATATGAAGCCTCCTGTCATGTGATAAAATTACATTTCCATATTTTGAATGATTTATTTTTTTAAAAGTAAATTGGTGTGGATCTGCCTGATAACCCAATTCGCTCTTCGTTGTTAAAGCCCATCTTTTGTAGGACTGCATAGCACGCTCTTCGTAGAGATGGGATCAGCAAACCTACACCTGTAGTGGTTTGGGGTTTGTTTTTCTATTGCACACTTTTTATTTATTATGCATTACAACTGATCAGATATAGCTAACACAGCTGGATTTAAATTCCTGAATTATCTGCCTAACTTGGATTTACAATATGACCTCACTCCACTATAATGAAACGGCCCTCTTACACTGAGGTTTTTTTTGTTTGCTTGTTTGTTTTTGTGTTTTTTTAATTTGAAAACTACCTTCATGCTGGTCCTCTTCTATTGCCTGGGGCCGATTGTCACCTAAGGAGAAGACCCAATCCCCTCAACAGTCACTAGTAATAGCTGAGGGCTTGACGAAAGGTAGCTCTGCCTTTTGTCAAGCATAGGGAAAATACCAAGCCAAAGTAGTTTATTTGTCTTAAAGGACCACTCTAGGCACCCAGACCACTTCAGCTTAATGAAGTGGTCTGGGTGCCTTGTCCAGCTAGGGTTAACCCATTTTTTAATAAACATAGCAGTTTCAGAGAAACTGCTTTGTTTATTAATGGGTTAAGCCTTCCCCCAAAGCCTCTAGCGGCTGTCTCATTGACCGCCGCTAGAGGCGCTTGCGTGATTCTCACTGTGCATGCAAGTGTCCATAGGAAAGCATTGTAAATGCTTTCCTATGCGACCGGCTGAATGTGCGCGCAGCTAGCCGAATGGGCGGAGAGGAGGAGGATCGGAAGAGGAGAGCTCCCCGCCCAGTGCTGGAAAAAGGTAAGTTTTTACCCCTTTCCAGAGCCGGGCGGGAGGGGGTCCCTGAGGGTGGGGGCACCCTCAGGGCACTATAGTGGTCCTTTAATCGATATTGGCAAATATATTTCACTAAGTGTATTTTGAAGTATCACTTTATGGCAGACTTGGCATCTTGCCTGGATGTTTGGCATGATGTCCCTGCTCTACCTTTTCATGTAGCCATTGTGTATATTCTTAGCATTTTATGCCCCATTTACTTGTAAAAATCTCTTTACTATTTTATGTATCCATCCACATTATCTAAAAACTGCAGCTGCCCTTTGTGCAAGCACCTCAGTTGCACAGCAGCAGTCAATATGCAGGTGTTGGCAAGGAAATCACTTGGGCTGATCAACACAAGAACTACAAAAAGACCATTTAGATATTGTTTCTTAAAAGAACACTCTAAATACATAAAGCACTAGCTTTTGGAAGTGCTGTATGTGTTGTCATTTTTTGTAAAATTAAAGCAAAAATAAAAAATACAATAGAAGTTGTCACTCTTAAACAGGTGAGTAGAGCAACCCCTAAGTATTAGGAAGGAGTGAGGGAAAAGGGTAAAGGAGAAGAGAGGGGGAAAAAAAAGGGGATGGGGGGGGGGGGTTAAATAAGGAAAGAAACAAGAGTGGCAAAAGTACTAAACACAGCTAAAAACCTCTAAACCTAGAGTCAATTTAGACAATTTTATGTTTGAAAGGCATAGTACTGTGCTTTCTATAGACAAGCTGTCTAATAACTGTATAATGCACTGTAATTCAAACCACATATTACCCATTACCAGCCAGAGTAATGTATCCCATACTTTATTGAATTACATGGAGACAATCACCAAAGGTTAAAAACAGATTTATTAATGAAGAATAAACAAAATCCAGTCTTGAAATAGACCGAAACGTTTGAAAGTGCTTAAATATAGGTCTTACATATTTTTATTATAACAAGTAAATAGAAAATGCTCAAAATTAGTCCAGATTCAATATAGTCTTTAAATACTCTCCCTCGTCTTCTAGTGAAGCATTATGTGAAGCTCCATCATTTAACACTTCTGTCTATTTCAAGACATAATTTTGGTTTTTATTTTTTTGTTCTTTAATTCATTAAAGGAACACAAACATGTGTTCCTGATCCTATAGTGCAAAACCCACCATTTAGGTGGATTTCCCCCTTAAAAGCAATTAAAACTCACCTTATTTCCAGTGATGTGCGAGTCTGCTGGCACTGGCCCCGCCCCCTTGGTGACATTTAGA